ATCGCCACTCCGTTATGTTTTAAAGGCCAGAGCGCACCTGTTGGCTTTAATCATTGGCTGGGTAACTATCGAAATGCCTGCTTAGTTACATAGTACCGGCACACCAATCGTCGTTTGGAGACGTCGCCCTTATCTCACTGATGAGAATTCGAGCCGAGATATTAGCGGTATTATCTAACATCATGAATTGTTGTGTTCTATCAGAGTATGACACGGGTTCCAACGTATTGAAAATGTCACATTTCACCTTTCAATAACTCTCCTAATGCTAATAACTCTTCTAGGGAGGATTTTACCCGTTTCTGGTATATGACATAAGCATGATTTACATGACCAGTAGCGCGGTTTGCTTGCACGCATCTACAAAATTTATGAAATGGATAGCATTTGTCATAATCATTGGTATAATCCTATTTAATCAAAAAGGCATTAATATTCATTAGCTGTGTGATCTGGGCGCGCCGCTCGCCGCGGCTGCCGTGACAAACGATATCTCCCGGAGGCGGTGAGAAGTTAGCGGCGAATTATGCGCCGGCCGCGCCATTACGGCCGCATCTGACAAATGACTGTCCAACAGATAGAACTCAGGCTGTATTGCACGGCACAGTATCGACATGTCACTGGTGATCGGCTGAGATGCCGTCGGCTGTGCGTACGACACAGTATCGACATTTCCTAAGATCATTAGGATAGGATCATGTCAACGCATTTCAAATTTGTTTCAAATGTAGTCGCTGACAATATAACGGCATGCGACAACTATTTCTCTTTTACTCGACGTTACAACACATTTATTGAAATGCCTGTGAAGATCATAAAGGATAGAGAAGCAGCTATTCGAAAAATCACGCTTGTAGCTTACTAAAAATGTTGAGTGCAGAGCAGAAAGACTACTTGGGGGGGTGGGGGGGGTGGCAACCCCCCCCCCCCATGTGCGGGCGAGGGTTAAAGCTCCTTGAAATTTCAACAGCACCCGGGAACACGGCAGCAGCACTCTGCAATCAGCCAAGTTATATCGTCTTACACTGTAATTTCGGCCTCCCTTCAAAGACTTCGTTGGGTCGTGTAAATCGAGATTACTTTATAATTAGTTTATGAAAATTCTTGTCTCTAGATCACTGATCACCATGTCAGCAACAAACAAGCAAAACTTCAGTGAGCTGAGACTGAGTCCCATCACGTCTTTTTAATAATTGGACGGCCGCAGTGCAGCTTTTCAAAAATATCTAACGAGTGTAGCTTTGTAACCATTTGTGCAATCTGTCAATCTGTCCAGACGAAAATCGGATGATGAGACACAGCCGGAGTCGATGTGATGGGACAGTTTTGCTTTCTCTGGCCTGCGAGCTGGCAGAGCGGCTGCTGTTCGAGGGTCAACTGGAACAGAGGTCCGCCGCACCGGTCCGGAGACAGCTTTGACCCAGAGGGGCTGTCATGTGACCGGCAGCATAAGCAGCTCCGATCGGCGTTGTTTCTCCCCCTCATCTCTCTCTCTCTCTCTCTCCTCTCTCTCTCTCTCTCTCGTCTCCTCTCTCTCTCTCTCTCTCTCTCTCTCTCTCTCCTCTCTCTCTCGCCTCTCCTCTCTCTCTCTCCTCTCTCCCTCTCTCTCATCTCTCTCCTCTCTCCTCTCTCTCTCTCTCTCTCTCTCTCTCTCTCTCTCTCTCCTCTCTCTCTCTCTCTCTCCTGTTTCGGAGCCTCTCACGCCGGGCGCTGCGGCCCCTCCCCGGTCAGAAGCGCTAATTGTGCTCATGTCGGCTGCGCGGCGATCTGTGACGGAGGAGCGGCGCCGAAGACCGGCGCAGTGATCGCTCACTGTCACAGCCGAGACGACGAGACACGCCGCTGATACCATCAGTCCGTCGGCACCCCCTCCCCACACACGCACAGGCACCCATCACATACCACCGGGTCCCCCGACCTGAGGTCAACGACATCTGACGACGTCTTAAAGGGACCCTCCCACCTTCAAAAAAGTTAATGAATTGGCATGAAAGTGATGTCGCTCGGTTCAGAAAGAGCAAAAATGAATATCTATAAAATGTCATCGAAAAATATTCACCGGTTTTCAAGATATTAGACTTTTACTTTTGTTTACTTTTTGGGATCTCCGCTGTTCCTAGCGACTTTATTTGAAAGTGCGGCATTTGCTGCGCGCAAAGCAGCACATACCACCGCGTGCTACCAAACGTTTTAGTAAAAGATTTAAAAATCGTTAGATCTCCGCTGACGTCACAAATTCTAAGGGGGCATACCAATGCATTAGCCCCTTAGAATCCGAAAACTGCAAGTTTGAAATTCCATATCTCCGAATTAAAGCATTTGTCGATGTTGTGAGTGCCCAAACCGGTATTTGCAGGCCATGGCCACCAATTTGGCTATCTCAACTCAAAACTAATGTTAAGGTGGGAGTGTCCCTTTAAGTTATTGAGACTATTGCCCAAAGTATGTGCTGGGTAGTGCATACCATAAATTTGTTTCAAATGTAGTCGCTGACAATATAACGGCATGCGACAACTATTTCTCTTTTACTCGATTTTACAACACAATTATTGAAATGCCTGTAAACGGTGAGAATGCGACCTTTGACCTGACCTGTGACATCATCGGTTTTTGACGAAAGTCAATGAAGTTGGGGGTCACAAGGTAGCCCTGGTGGGGCTATCGAACGCCCTTTGAATTTTGAAAATCGGCCCGTAACTTTCCGAGTGGACCCTACGGGTGGTATGCTACGGGTGGTATAGAGTCCACTGATAGCCCTACGGGGCGCGGGTTGAAGAGAGAGGGGTCGAACAAATCCTCCGCCTTCTATTTTTCGCACCAACACAACCAAAACGTGGCGGATAGCGACACGACGGGGGGCTTTTGTCCCCCCCCCCTCTGCCACCAAACAGGACCTGGAACCTGCCACACCTCAAAGGGGTTAATGGAGGGTCTGGTTTTCGGCAAACATCTATACCAAAAATAGTGCAGAGTTGCGATTTTGGTACCATTGTGCGTTTCGTGCTGACCCACGTCGAAACCTGTAAGCTTGTGTTTGGGAAAGGTCTGCATTGGTGCTCACTTCAGGTCAACGTCAAATCAAAGCCGCTAGGGTTGCGAGGCTGGTCGAGGGAAGTCTTATAATAACATATCGCTCGATTCGACAGCTCATTTTGTCTTGCAATGCAGGACGCTCTGGCGACTTCACACTCGGCTGCAGGCGCGCTCGCCAAACACTGCGTTCCAAGCACGCCTGAGTGGGAGTGCAAATGAAGCTCAGAATTGCTTATTCGGCCTGCGGCATCTGCCAAACGATTCATTGATGGGGGAGCTTAAATGATCCAAAAGTGATAAAGGCTTTCAAAGGTGTTGTCTTCTATTAAAAGATATGACCTTTTCCCACAAAATCTGAGTTAGGGTCACTTTTTTTTAAGCAAGAAATTAAAATGTGAATTAAAACCATTTTACTCACATCGCTACCTTGCATGCCGCCAATATCTCACCTCAAAGTCGCTCTGACGCGGAGCGCTGAAAGCGACGGTTGAATAAGTACATACTTACATCACTTTTTAGTACTTGTCTTACATGAAATTATCCAAAACGAGCGTGATTTTAACTCTAGATTTGCATTACATCTAGCTACTAAAGTGCCTTTTAGAGATGTTTATGGTTAGAAAGTGTTGTATGAATTTACGCAATTACACGTGGTCATAATTGGTCGATACGCACGGATATTTTAGTATCTACGACCTAATTTTGAATCAGTTCCACTGACTGTACAATAATTGAAGATGGGTAAAACACATTTGGAGCATTAATGTTAACCCGCGCATGACTGGGGTATTTTTCATAACGCGAGTGACTGAGGGGGGGGGGGCTGTGGAGAGCTCCTATCTCCTATCTCCGAAACTACTGCGCCGATCGTCAAAATTTAAACGGCGTCTGATAGCCCTGGAAAAGCTGTCGGACGAAACCTATTTTCATTGACCTCGAGGTCACCGATGACGTCACAGGTCAGGTCAAAGATGAAATGTTTCACCGTTCACGGGTCTTCTAGGGAATGCGCTATAACACCGAGGAAAACGCATTTTGTCGAGAATCAGCGATAGGGCGTCAGTTGCCTAGTACATATGTTGCTATTAGAGGTCACTGACAATACCAGGTCAGGTCACAGGTCAGGTCACCAAGGGTCAGCACATGAACCCAACTTTACTAGGGTTGTGCGATGCATGTTTTGTGGCCATTTTTTCATTCCCAACTCAATGGTGTTGGTTATAAGACCATTAGGTACGGCTTAGGTCACTCTCTGGTGGAGGTCAGGTCAAGGTCAGGTTAAAAAAAAAATTAAAGTTGATAGTTTTGCATAAAATCGGTATTAATTCGATGCAGCTCGTCACGGGGAGTCTAATAGTGGTCTTTGTTTTGCGCTACGGGGTCTAGAATTGCTAAAAATTGAGTTTGAAAATTTAACGCCATCAATTTTGAACAGTTTTTCGCTCTAACTTGGCCAAAAAAGAGGTTTCGATCTCAAATTTGGTATGTGGATAGAAGGCGGTAAGGACTGTCCCATATATCCCGCTTTTACGAAATTCAAAAAACTTTTAGGATTTTTCGGCTGTTATATTCAAAAAATCTATTTTTTTTATTTTTAGGGGTCATATCCAAATATTTCAAAAATCTGAGATAACAGTATTGTAGCCCTGTCAATGCTGCAGCTTTTATGTCTTAATCATTTTTCTGTATTTGCAAAGCTATAGGCCTGACAGCTCTTCCCGCGAAAACCTTTTTTGGGTCGAAAACGGCAGAACATGACGTCACTCTGACGTCATTTCCGGTCAACCTATCATAGCCTTTGGACAAAATGGTCACAATGTGTAAAATTGATGTCCGGGAGGGTACTGAAAGTTTGGTGACGATCGGCGCTGCGGTTCTGGAGATATATCGAAAAGTCTGGAGGGGGGCAAAAAATAGCCCCCCCCCCACACACACACACCAGGGCACGGGTAAAGCAAGAAAACACAGCTGACTGTTTTTTTTTTTTTTTGGAGGTAACAAACATTGAACATTCAAATCCGACCCGTTCAACTCAAATCCTACACGAAGCCCGCTTGATGCTTTGTATATCTGCCGGCGGCCGGCGCTCGGGCACCGACTGGTGCCGCCGGGCTGCGCTACTTGTCCTTGTCCTCCTCCTCAGCGGCGGCGCCCCCGAACGGCTCGCCATCGAACTCCGGCTCGGACATCTCATCGGCCTCGTCGTTGTCGTCGTCCGAGGTGTGGGCGGCGCCGAGGCCGGACACGAACAGCGAGCCGTGCCGGCCGCGCACGCCTCCCCCCGGCGACGGCGCGCCCTCCGACGTCGACGTCAGCGTCGTGCCCGACAGGCCAGTGAACACGTTGACGTCGACAGACTCGTTGAAGCGCACATGGTGCCGGCGCAGGCGCAGCAGGCGCTGGACGCGGCGCCGTTTGCGGCGCTGTCTGAGCGAGGATCGCAGCGGCCGCTCCGGGTCGGCGGCGTCGGCGGCGTCCAGGTCGGGCGTGCGGCCCAGCCGGCGCAGCATGGCGCAGCGGCGCGCCCAGCCGACCAGCACGGCCAGTAGTACCAGCAGCGCGGCCGCCGTGGCCGCCGACAGGCCGGCGCTGACCGGCGCCAGGCCCAGCGCGCGGCTGGCGCCGCCGGCCGGCCGCGCGCAGCCCGGCGTGGCCCAGGTGACGCCGCTGCGGCACAGCAGGCCGCTGACGAACTGGTCGTGCTCGCCGCAGCTGAGCGCGGCGCGCCCCTCGGCCAGCCGGTGCCGCCGCCGCCGCCGGCCGGGTGCGGACATGGCGGGCCGCCTCTCGGCGCTACTGCAGGTCAATATTTGTCGGCTGCGTTATCTGCAGGCAGCAGAGCACACACCGGGTAATACAGCGGCCGGCGGCCGGCGGCGGACGGGTAGGGCAAACCATAGAAGACGCCCGGCGCACAGTGGGCCTAACAACACAGCGCGGCCACCTGAGGTCCGCCGCCAGCAGCACATCATCTTCACCTTAGCTCCTGCCGTAATAGCTGCAGGGGACAGATCGGATGGGCGGCAGCTTTGCGCTCGCTCCTCATTGGTCATTTCTAGCACAAGATAGCAATATAGATAATGAAATGCATTTGTTTACAGGCCACTGGCAGATCCAGAAAGGCGGTCTTGGATGCTGCGGGGGGGGGGCATACGTCCGGCCAAAACAGTTCTTTCAAAATCCAAAAACTCATAGGATGTCGATTCCTTACATACTGCTGTGCAGTTTAACCCTATTCCTGGCGGGCTCCGCCGGGACAAGAAACTGGCGGGGGGGGGGGCCGATTCGCCCCCCCCCCCTGAGATCTCGAGAACGAAGCAAGATAGCGACAAGCGGTAAACGGCATCGGATACGCACGGCCAAGATCTACAATTTTTACTAAGGTCATTTTCAGGTCAGGTCAAAGATGACGTCACAGGGGTCGAAAAAGTCAAAATGGCGGCACTAGATATGGAGAGAGTTTTTCTCGAATAACTTTCGAATTAGTCAAGATAGGAACAAACTAAGGGCATCATCGTGATCCTCTCGTCAATCCGCATCGAATGATATATATGTTAACCTCGAAAGGTCAAGGTCAAAGGTTGACCTCAGGTCACGTGACCTCGAGGTCATCATGTATATCATTCGATGCGTCTTGACGAGCTGAACACAATGAGACCATCCACGCGTCTGTATCTTGTTCCTGTACGGAGTTATTGGCCAAAAACCTTTGGTGACCTTTGATGACGTCACATGACCTCACAGCTGCCCAACAGCAAAACAGACCTCAATGTAGTGAAGGTTGATCGTATATGAAGTCATGTATGGTATATGGGGCCATTCCGACCCGTTTTAGTGGTAAAAACAGGGAGTTGATTTTTCCCCCATTGACTTATAATGGGGAGGTCGCGAAATTGACCTGACCTTAGGTCACCGATATCAAAATTCCGAGATATACAAATTGCACATACTGGTACCCTAACTAAACCCTGAAGAGAAGAAATTGATCGGTCAAAAACTCTAGCTCTGGCGTGATTGCAAACTTTTCTGAGGTAGCGTCACCAAACCGCTTCTGGTGACCTGACCTGAGGTCAGATCAACTCAAAATTTTCAGACATGTTGCGTAGAAGCCTTTTAGGAAAAGTAAGAAAATTTGAGCTTCCTAGCTCAACGCGTTTGGGAGATATAACCAAAAAACCTCAAGGGGGGGCTCCTGAGGCCCCCCCCCCCCGCCAGGAATAGGGTTAAACTGACCTTTTCCCCATAAACGTTGTTGAGTTTTCGTTTTATTGTCGAGAAGACGCATTTTTTATCGGTTTCGGGTAGGTACTGCAGGGGGGGGGGGCATTTGTCCCAAATGCCGCCGCCCCCCTTGGATCCGCCAGTGTCACGGGCGGTGTCGAGGTATGTTCTGGTGTATGGATTCCTATCATTGTTAGGTATATAGTTATCCATCATGAATCTATCAATCGTCCATTCATCAAATGAGTTGAATTCATACATCATCGTTGATAAACCACCCCTCCCTGTAAACCTGAATTTAAATGTCGTGCACTGTGCACAACAGCATGAATTCGCGCACAGTTAAAACATATGCTCCTAAATGGCAATCAATGAGCATGGTAAAGCGCGCGGCATACCTGTGCGCTTATTGAGCACCCACAGGGCTATCACCCATTGGACTGTGATGGACTGACGGCTGGACATTTATGCCGTGCCATTCTGTGGAAAAACAGGCGGCCAACAAAACACCGCTGGCTGTCGGCCGGACACGATGGGCTCGCTGCGGAACTGATCGGCCGCCGAGCGGGGTCGGCCCGGAGCGGTCGGCGGTCGGCCGACTTTTTGTCGCCTCATCCGGCCCGTATTAGAGCCGGGCTCCGTGATCAAAGGCACGCGACCGCCGCTAAAAAATGACCGCCGCTGAGCGGGACGGCGCCGGCCGCCGGCGACAGGCCAATTAAAGCCGCCCAGCCCACACGGGCTGACCTTTCAGAGTCACACAGGCCTTGATGCCGGACCCGCGCGGGAGGCGATGTGCACGACCGATTTGCAGAGCTGCACATTCTATGCTTCAGCTATTGGCTTGCAATTACTTTGTCAATATTACGATATTGCTTTGCAAGAAAAGCACTTATCTTTGAACGACTTCGCCCAGGATTATTTTTTCGGCAATGCTCATTGCTAGAAGGCATTTTCAAGTGTAATTCAAGAATCAAGAAAGTAATTTTCAATGTCAAGTGCCATTTGTTTACAAGGGCGGATGGATCGGAGCCAGCTCATATGATGGCGTATGTCGATAAGATGGCCTGCTGCCTCGGCAGCTGCACGCAGCCCGTCTCAGCGGTGTGAGGTGACACGCCACTGCGGCGCCGCGTCCCGGAGTCGGCGTCCCCCGGGAGAGGCGGACGGGAGCCGCGTCAGCCGGGCTCCATCGGCAGTCGTCAGTCGTCACCGCAGACAGTGCGGAAGGACGAAAACAGGGCGACACGACCGGCGGCAGCCTCCACCGAATGGAGGGAGAGAGAGAGAGAGAGAGAGAGAGAGAGAGAGAGAGAGAGAGAGAGAGAGAGAGAGAGAGAGAGAGAGAGAGAGAGAGAGAGAGAGAGAGAGAGAGAGAGAGAGAGAGAGAGAGAGAGAGAGAGAGAGAGGTCTGAAAAGTTGGTCCTTGCTTTCGAACTGAAGAGGCGAATAAGTTCAGCAGATGTGTAACTCCCGTGAGCAATAATGCCCTATATCATTTACCTTAACCAGCTCCTATTGCGTGTGTTCCAGCTCTCCCTAGCTGTAAGACGCCAAAGAATCAAAAATTACTCAGTAGTTATTCACAATGTACCACATTCGATGACTATTTTACATCTTCTTTTGGCCAATGACTTTTGGGCAGAAGTTCTTTACTGACGTAATGCTGCCTTATCGCACACAAAGAAAAGCAAACGTTTTGCTTCTTTTAAGTTCCGTAATGAGAAAAGGTTTCAGAAGCTCTCTAGCACGGCCAAGATCAAACAATAAAACAATTTTCTGAGGTCACTAAGGCCACTCGATGGACACTGCTCTCGGCAGATGCTGGGCCGTTCGATGGCTTTTCACTGGCGACGCCTATAGGTACTCAGAGACCATAAGCTGGAGCCCAGGTAAAATTGCGGTAGCAGTTTTAATCCATTTATAACGAACTTTAAAATAAACTTTACCTAGCAGGTACCCGACAGCTGAGAGCTTCTAAATCTTTGAATTGTGAAATGTGTTGTTCGTCCAAAACATGACTTGTTTCAAAGAAGTTGCTACTACGATATTTTTAACCCTATTAGTGGCAGGGGGGGTTGTTTTTATCCACCCCTCAGGTTTTTCGGGAATATCTCCGAAACCGCTGAAGCTACGATGCTGAAATTTTCTGACTTTTCCTAAAACTAAATTGGGCACATTCCATGAAAATTTCAAGTTCATAACTTTACCAGGGGCGGCTCCAGAGCACTGGGAATTGGGGGGTCCTATTCGTGAAGCGAGTCATTTGGGCGAAGATCACGATGCTGCACCAGTTTTACGAACAGTGAATAAAAGGTATCATGTGATAACATATACAGTTATTGTGCATCCTCTTTTGACACGTTTTTGCTATAATAGGCGGATCCAGGCGTCCAAAAAGGGGGGTTATGTTTTACCTCCCAACATAGGTGCCCTGACACCGCCTATGCATTACCAATACAATTTTAGTCGTTCTCTCATAAGAAAATTATAACATAACAAGACCATTACCACCCTTTTTAGAAACAGTACCAACAAAAACCTTATTTACTATACTTTTTGTGTACCCCCAATCTCAATGATCTGTATCCGCCTATGATTTTTGAAAATGCATATTTTTAGGATCCATGTGAATTCCTGGTTCATTCTCTATCGATCGGCAAAAGTTGCGTTAAGATTGGTTCAGAAACCTGGCCGTGATAAACAGTCTAAAATATATCTGCAATTTGCCTGTTTTTACCCCCCTCTAACCCCCCTATTGACATTTTTTTATTTTTTATTTTTTAGAAATGTAGATCACGTTGAGCGAAATCGAATGCCGTTTGAATTTTGAAAATCGGCCCGTTAGATCTCGAGATATCAAGGGGGGGTCGTAAACAGCCCCCCCCCCCCTGCCACTAATAGGGGGTAGCCAGGAGCCTGCCACTAATAGGGTTAACAAGCTATTTTTAACATAAAACTTCTAAAGCATTTGGGTAGCTAATGAATAAGGAAATTGTCGCATATTTACCTTATGAGCACCGAGGCATCTGAACTTGCTTGGATGGATCGCGCCCTAGGCTTCTGATCGTCAAGTTCCATATCGAGCTGTCAAGTTTCATTACCGTCTTTGTGTTCTTTCTATTCTAGTCTAGTATATCAGCCTGTTGGTTGAACGTCAAAACGCGAATAGAAACCTCATCTTGGTATTATATGTAATGGACGTCATCTCAGCTCAAGGTCGTGTAAAATGTTCAAGCGTACAGCCGTTACTAGAGGGCGATGACTACTGGATCAGCTAACGCGCATGTCATTACAAAGGTACAAGGTCACAGCGGTTTTGTGGTCACAGCTGGTCACGGATGGTCACGGCAATAAAACGCTCATAGACATGTGATTCAATTAACGGAGTCAACGGAGCTCAGCAAACTCTTCAGCTGTCCATGCTCGAAAACATTCTCAGATCCTGAAAGACACGTGATGAAACCGTATAGCTACATCTTATAATGGACACTTTTGACAGTGGCAGAGGAATTTATCGGCCCGGCGACTTTCTCGGTGTTCCCGCGGCTCGCCTTTTACACACAAATCAGTTTCAAGCACAATGTGATGGATGTGCAATGTCTTTGGACGACTTAATTAAATGGACAATGCACTGTTGTCTGTTTCCATCACTATTACAGAGTTTCGTTGCTTTTACTTCCAAATAAATTTTCCCTTATGCTTAAATACATAACATGCATAATTATCCCATAAAGTGCTATGTCATATTTTTATGCGAATATTGTGCAAAAACCAGATTCAGCCAAACGGATTCTAGGTGGATATGCATTTGGGTGTAAGAGGCACGAAGTCCTGCGCTCCTCGCGGGGACGTCCAGCCCACACAGCGCTCAGTCTCCACCGCCGAGCCGGGCCGGTCTGGGTAGGCTGACCCGCTCAACACTCCAGTCAGGCGGCACAGTCTACCGGTTCCAGGCGGCGGCTGCCAGCGCTGAGCCGACAGGCAACCGGCGCGGTGGATACTACTATTACGGTACTTTATTATACTCTGGCTGCAGCAATCTTCGGCTGAGCAGCTCCACATAAAAGGAACGCAGTGAACAGTTTCTAGGCCGGGTTCCTAGTCCACGGACGGCAAAGATTCTGCGTGACGTCACGTTGAATCTTTGCCGTTCGCAAGACTCCAAATGCGGCATTGCTCGATCGGCAGCGTAACCTGCTCACGCTCGTGTTACATTAGCCTGTCACAGTTACATTACAGTGTGTCACTTCCGGGGCGCCCCATGGGTGTGTGTTGCGGGCCGTCGGCAGTGTTCGGGCGGTGCCGGTGTCGTCACACAGCCTCTCCGGCACTGGCGCCATACTGGTGCGTGTGGGCGGCGACGTGATAGAGCGCCCCGGTACCGGCCTTCCCGGCACAGGTCGAGACCACAGAGACCACTTCCCGGCACAGTTGCAGCGGGGGCCGGACGGCCGGACGGCCGGACGCTGCCCGGATGACAGCGGCGGCGGGCCGGGCGGGCGCGCTGCCCTCGGCGCTATGTGCGCCAGGCTCGGAGCGCGAGCACGCCGCCCGCCGAGGGCTGGCACCAGCCGGGGGACACCGCCCGCGGCACGTCCGAGCTGGAGCCGGCGAAAAAGCAGAACCCGTGCCGCACGTTATCAGCATCGGCCCTGGAGACACAGGCGGAGACCGCTGACTCAGTGGAGACAACTGGTGGAACTGGAGACAAATGGAGTCTAGTGACACCTGAAGGTGTCTAGTGACACCTGAAGCAGAGACATTGATATAGTTTTTAAGCATTCAAGCTATTAGTTACACCCATATATATATATTTTTTTTTTTTGCTGTTAACGATTTGATCAAAACAACACGCTGGCAGTTTGGTCACAAGGCGTAAGTGCTGAACCTTCACCGCCTGCGATGTCTATGCTTTGATGAGGCCGGGGCAATGAGCTACGACTCCATATAAAATTAACTTCATGAAGATAGAAGAGGACAAGACAAAAATCCAATCCCAAACGGCTGCGTCATTTTTAGAAGCGAGGCATGTTTGCTAGTGCAAGCATGAGGGGGCTGGATATCAGGATGTCGTATTTAAAGGAAAATAAAACAAATACGAGATAAAACATGCGATACAAAACCAGCGCCAATGGTTGGGTAATTGTCAATCTCCATTTAGTCAGCCAGTAATTCGAACTTTCAACTGGCAGTTTGTTTTAGTTCCCTTTACAAATGCCAGCGTTTTATACGTACACCAAGTACAGAGCAACAGCTGCCGTGCCGAACCCATACAGAGCTTTGCAGTAGTAGAGCCCCAGGTCGGTCTTCTCCAAATGAGTCCGCCAGAAGAGTGGGTCTCGCTCGGGCCGCCGCAGCTGGTAACAAACAAACCTCTCGCCGGGTTCTGGGAACAAACGGCATACCCCGCAGCCATTTAACTTCCCGACACTGGAACATATTCAACTGCGTGCGATAACGCTTCAGTCTGAATGAAACAACATTGCCTCACAAATGACGGCTTAGCCTTAACCCTCGCCCTGGCAGGGGGGGGGGGGTCGATGCGACCCCCCCCCTAAGGTTTTTCGAAGATAGCGTAAAAACGGCGGCGCGCAGCGCCGCCAAATTTGGCACAGCCTATGGGGCAACCTTTTTACATATGATCTGAAAATTTCAGGTCCGGGTGACCTTGGGTCAGGTCACCAGGTCAGAAAAACCGGTACAAGGTCATGGTCAAATTTCAATTTTCTTTTTGCACCTGTCCAACTCACAGTTTTGCACTGATTTCCTTCAAACTTTCAGGATGTGCTAAGTTCACCGAGTTGTATAACATATAGTTCGGGTTTTTTGAGGTCACTGACCTGAGGTCAGTTAGAGGTCATTACGTCGTAATGTTAAGCCTATGGGAATATACTAAATTCGGAAAATACTGGAGATATCCGCTTCGTTTTATCACTTTTGTGCTTTGAAACCACAGTACTTAACAGCAGGTCACTTGGTGCTTCTTTGTTTGGTGTACTTATCCATGGGTCAGGTCAAATGAGGTCAACTAAGGTCAAATGACGTTTTTGCCAATAACTTGGCACATAATGACGCTAGAGCTTCAAAAATGGTATCATTGTGTTCCTGGTGATCAGCCGAATCGAATGATATGCGATATGATGCAATTTGGTCAACTTTAACTTAATTTAGTAATTTAAGTTTACTTAAAATTTAAGAAAAACTTTAAGTACACTTAAGCAAGCTAAAAAGTATATCATTCGACGCGCCTTGACGTGCTGAGTTCACTGGTGCTTTTCTTTTTGCTCTATCTTAATTAGATCAAAAGTTATAAGCGAAAAACTTTTGACCTGTTTTTAGCGAAATTTTTACATTTATACCCCCCAAAACCCCCCTAAATATTGACCTAGAGCGACCAAATTTGCACAGGGGCGAGAACTCCAGGGGGCCCACCTACCTACCAAATTTGGTGTTTCTAGGTGCCATAGGAGCCAATCGCGAGGGGGGGGGGTCGCATCGACCCCCCCCCCCTGCCAGGCCGTGTTATGAAAAATGCCCTGCCAGGGCGAGGGTTAAATGCAGAATGCAGGCTGTAACATATGTTTTCAAAGAGCTGCTGGTGCCTGTATGTGCTACCCTATAGAAAAAACGCGACAAAATATGTGTGATAATACGTACGTACTACGTACGCCTGTTATGACTACGTGTCGCGTGCAAAGCTTTTTTCCACTTTAATGTAATGGTCATTAAAATAAATATATATTACTCTAGCAATAATAAATTCGTCCTTGTTTCGTAGTCCATATGCCTACTATTGCACAGATACGGCTGAAGGCCTTATACAGATAAGGACAGATACTGCCTTAGGCACAATTATACGGGCCCTGCTCACATAGGAGGACGATAGGGCGGGATTATAGCAGGGCGCGACTCACACCCAGCGCAGTGGCCCCGGCCGGCCGGGGCACGGACTGGGACGCCGACTGACCTGGACGAGAGGGCTGGACGGCGACTGACCTGGACGAGAGGGCTGGGACGGCGACTGACCTGGACGAGAGGGCTGGGACGGCGACTGACCTGGACGAGAGGGCTGGACGGCGACTGACCTGGACGAGAGGGCTGGGACGGCGACTGACCTGGACGAGAGGGCTGGGACGCCGACTGACCTGGACGAGAGGGCTGGACTGCGACTGACCTGGACGAGAGGGCTGGGACGGCGACTGACCTGGACGAGAGGGCTGGGACGGCGACTGACCTGGACGAGAGGGCTGGACGGCGACTGACCTGGACGAGAGGGCTGGGACGCCGACTGACCTGGACGAGAGGGCTGGGACGGCGACTGACCTGGACGAGAGGGCTGGGACGGCGACTGACCTGGACGAGAGGGCTGGACAGTCATGTGGGTGCCAATGACGTGTCTGAGGCCGAGCAGGTACCAGGCGCCGTCATCGGGGCAGCTCATGGCGTCAGCCGGGGGCACCAGCCGCCCTGTGAGCGTCTGCACACAGCGCCACTGGCCGTCCACCCTGCCGGAGCACACAGAGGTCCGGATAGAGCCCGCAGGAGCACACAGTGGTCCGGATAGAGCCCGCAGGAGCATACGGAGATCCTGCACAGCCTACAGAGCACACAGAGATCCTGCACGGCCTACAGAGCAGAGCACACAGTGGTCCGGATAGAGCCCGCAGGAGCACACGGAGATCCTGCACGGCCTACAGAGCACACGGAGATCCTGCACGGCCTACAGAGCACACAGAGATCCTGCACGGCCTACAGAGCACACAGAGACCCTGCACGGCCTACAGAGCATACAGAGATCCTGCACGGCCTACAGAGCACACAGAGATCCTGCACAGCCTACAGAGCACACAGAGATCCTGCACAGCATACAGAGCACACAGAGATCCTGCACGGCCTACAGAACACACAGAGATCCTGCACGGCTTACAGAGCACACAGAGACCCTGCACGGCCTACAGAGCACACGGAGACCCTGCACGGCCTACAGAGCACACGGAGATCCTGCACGGCCTACAGAGCACACGGAGATCCGGATCGAGCCTACAGGACCACACACAGAGTCGACACTCGGCACAAATATCCAGGTGAAGTCTGCGGGAACACAGAGTCGGCACAAAGGTGTCACAGGGTCACCTAAGACTGGACCCTGCCGCAGCACATTGAGTAGTAAATTATTGGTGGCACTCGGGTACTACCAGGCCTATACAAGCCAAACACATGCGCTTGCCCCCCCCCTTCCCCAAGCCTCTTCCGGCTCTTCCAGACCCTTGTTTGTTTGTTTTGTTTTGTTGGGTTAGGCCCTTTCGGTCGACAAGACCATTGCAGAGCCGGAAGGATGATAGGAATTAGGGGGAGACATTGGTCTTGGCAGGCACCCTAGTGAGTCGCCGGGGCTGAGCCCGTCCAGAGGACAGGCCACCCAGCCCCAAGGCACTCACTGCACCCGGCTACGGGGTGCGCTCCCTCAGGAGCAGCGGTGCCGCTCCAAGGGAGCAGCCTGCATGAGATAAAGTTGCCTGTCCAGCCCGGAGGGGGGTTGCGGCTTGGAGGAGAAGGATTTCAGTATCCTGAGGATAGAAGCACGGATAGGTGATTCCAGACCCTGCTGGGGCCGTTATTTTGAGTGAACGCCGATCGAATGATGATGGCATTTGCCTGGAAGTTTTCAGTTATCGTCCTCAGCACTTACAAAATGGTTACTGTTGAGTTCTGACATTCTCCGAACGGCCTTGTGGTTTCTCGAAGAACCCTCTTATGGTCCGTCAGTGGCAGGAGGTAGCAGGCCGAGGCTCCTTCTCGCGGAATCAGCCTGCGTCTGCCACCTGGCGGGAGAATCAGACACTGTCATTGATCGTAATTGCCGCTCACGGAAAAGCTGCATCGCGATCGCACCAGGAAATTGGGAAGCTGGGTTATTGGTAGTTCCTATCCTACACCTAATCTAAGCCCCAACGGGCGAATCAAGAACAACAAAAATACTAATAGCTACATCTAGTGGCTGCGGCTGTTCTTATCACCGCAGATCCCATCCCAGTGAGGAGCTTCATATTGGGATCGAGCGCCGGAGCGAACCGAACATCAACTCTCATCCTCTTATACTGGCTACAGTCGACAGGCTGCAGTCTGTAGCGGGAAGAGGGAACACACTGCGGTTGGCAGGATCTGAGATCGGGGGCAGCGGGAACACACTGAGTGCAGTCGGCCGCGGGGGAGGGAACACACTACTGACTGCACTCGGCAGCGGGGGAGGGAGCACACTGACTGCAGTCGCAGCGGGGGAGGGAACACACTGACTGCAGTCTGCAGTGGGGGGAGGAACACACTAACTGCGGTCGGCAGTGGGGGGGGGGGGGGCACACTGACTGCGGTCGGCAGTGGGGGAGGGAACACACTGACTGCGGTCGGCCGCGGACCGCACTGACCTGTGATCGGCCTCTGCCGCTGGTGACAGCCGCCGCCGTCCTGCACCGCCACCAGCACCAGCACCAGCAGCCGCGGCACCAGCGGCATCGCGCTCCGCTCCGTCACCACTAAGCGCCGGTGTGACGGGCGGCCGTGACGGGCTGTCACACCTGTCACCCCCACCCCACCTCCCCACCACACACGGCGGCAGTGACAGCGCGAGCTCTGATACCACTGCCGGCACCACGCTGACTCTGACACCACGCTGACTCTGACACCATTGCTGACGACACTGAAATTTGTCGTCAACCAATCGCTGCGCCTCGTAACGACGGAATCGTTCATTTATTCCGCGACGTTTTAGCTCAATGAATGGTGAAACTGTGAAGACGGGTTATACCCACCCTCTTTTTCGGCCTTGTTATGTAGAAAATCCAGTGGCGGTTACAGAAACTTTCGAATGTTTTCAGGCAAACGAATACATCAACGCTTTGTGAAGGGTTTTGGTCTATTTACACAAGCAGTTTGTACAAAAACTGGTATCACAGACAAAACAAGTATTTAGTACAATGGAAGGTTCCGCCGCCGAGCGGCTGCGGGGGCGGCGCCCGGGCGGCGGACGAAACAGGACAGCGGTGGAGGTGAGGTGACTGCAGTGGGCATTACCATCGAGCGTGAGGTAAACAAGAAACAGCGCCGCTGGCCGCCGGCGCCACCACTAACGCGTCCATGCATAAACGAGCAATCAATCAGAAAACAAAACAGCAGCAAGTGGCAACCGCCGAGAACGTCACACTGACTAGAGCGAGGGGCCGGCCCGACGCGGCGGCGCCGGCCAGCGCCGGTTGTACTTGACACGAGTCCATGGTCGTTGCACTGGAAGACCAGCCGCCCGGCCGGCAGCCGCGTTCGCCGCACACTCGCCGCCGTCGGCTGCCGCACACGGCTGGGGCGCGGCGGTTCGCCGGCCACTGTGCGTCACTGAGAGAATACTGAAACGGTGCAGCGCGGCGTCCCGGGCGCGCCGCGTGCGTCACAGCAGAGCGGCCGCGCCGGCAGCCCCCGACCACTCAGTCCGTCCCGGAGTCGGGCCTAGTCCAGCCAGCCGTCACAGAGTTCCGTGGGGCCACCAGCGCACTCAGCGCTGCAACGAATCCACGCCACGGATCACCGCTCAATGGCACGCGAACGGGTCCCGGGGTGACGACCGGCGTCCGTGGCGCCCCCCCCCCCCTGGCCGGGGCCCCGTCCTGAACTGGAGATCACGGTGCTGGCGCGCCGCGTCACTGGTACTCGACCCGCAGCCCCTCGATCCGCCGGCTGATGGTCTCGACGTCTGGGCCGGCGCGCACGGCCGCTGCCGCCGGGCCGGCCAGCTCACCCAGCTTCAGGTTCTCCATGCTGAGCGAGCGCACCAGCGGCGCGGCGGCGGGCGCCGCCGGGGAGCGGCTCGGCGCCGGCCGGCGCTCGCCCGCCGCACCGGCCGGCGCCGGCGGCGGCGGCGCGCTGCACAGCGCGGCCACCTCCTGCTGGCCCCAGCTGGTGGTGCGCGCCCGACCGCCGGCCGGCCGCTCGCCGGCCGAGTACGGCTTAGCCGGCCGACTCCAGAGCCGGCGCGCCTTGCCGCCGGCCGGACTGCGCGGCGCGCCGCCCACGCCGCTCACGTAGTCCCAGTTGATGTAGAGCGTCTCGAAGCCGCTGCCGGGGCCGGGGCCGCCGCCGCCGCCGCCGCCGCTGCTGGCGCCGCCGGCGCCGTCCAGCCGGATGCGGCTCATCTGCTCGGCGATCTGGGCGGATCCGGAGGGCGGCGCCGGCCGCTGTCCGGCCGACACCGTGTAGCGGCGCCGGCGGCGCGTCTCCGCCTGGTGCTGTCGCCGGCCAGCCGGCACCGCCGCCAGCATGCCGAGCTCGTCCAGCGCCCGGTCCAGCGGCGGCACGCCCGTCTCGCAGCAGTAGCACTGCGCCTCCCCCGACATCTGCCACCGACCGTACACAGCGCGTCAGAACAGAGTGGTCCTCATAGTGGGCACACGGCACCATAATCAAACCACGCACTGGCCACTGACACTGACAGCACTAACCCGCGCACGACTGCGGGTTTCTATGCACAGAGTCCACCGCCTCGTTTTGTCTGCAATATCTTTTAACACGCCGAAGGTATCAACACGAAACTTTCAGTACCTAACCTCGGCTACATCAATTTGAAGCCTTGTGTCCAATTTCCTGGCTACCATAGGTCGGACGGACATGACGTCTGTCAGTAAAAAATTACGGTGCGGGGGGGGGGGGGTTAACCCGCGCCCCACTAGGGTCTGCGTAGTGCGTATAGCACGCCCTACTGGGTGACTTTGGCATTTTAACATTAGTCCTATGGGCGTTGCATGGAAAGAATGGGATCAAATGTCGGCAGTGCCCCCCTTTAACTGAAGGTGTTCCGCCGCTACTGCCTTCGACTTTCGATTATCGTTCTACTCTTGGACTGGATCTTGACAATTTCTCGCGACTGCTTCACGATCATGATGTACCTACGCATTTCGTAAATCGATCTTTTCCGACCAAACACGCACTCATATGATAAAATGAATGTCAATTGTCACCATCGTGTTTAATGCCCAAATGTACCCAAAAAGCATGCGTCATATGCTGCAAACACCAGTTTTGATTTTCGGGGATATGTGCTTACTTAATTGACCTGACCTTGACCCTGATCTATGCTTGACTGACTCCTACATGGATCTGGCCACTCGAGTAGCACTTATGGATTGAAAACAGTTTTGACAGTCTATGACGAGAGATATCCAGTGCGAGGTTATAAGGTCCATGTTACTGAAAGCCCAATTTCAGGTGGTTGCTTGACCTGACCTTGACCTGACCTGTCACCTATGTCCAATTTTAAAGTACTCATCTGAAGCGTATCGCCGCGTTCTTTGGTTTGCCGCCTCGTGTTTCGCTGCTTCTCGAGTTATCGGCTAGGGGTGTTTTACGCCTCCCCCTTGTAAATAATGTTTTATTTGATTGTATGCGCTGACATACGCCGAATCGCGACTCCGACCTGACATGTCCTCGAGAAACAGGTCAAGTGTCAAAGGTCATAAAACTCTGGGGTAGGTTAGGTCTCAAATTGATCCACTCGAGAATAGGTACACCTACTGAAAGTTCCGTCGCGATCGGCCACTTTCTGTGCGTTATTCACGAAAAACGGAGGGGATCCGATACAAATCCCACATCCAAGGAGGTCGAACGTGCAAGGGTTAATAAAATAGACACATCACAACTTAACCTAGCCTTCCCTAACTTCACCCAACACATCCTATCCTTAGTTTGATTCAATTCAAGATTCTTTGTTTCAGCTTAAGAAAAATAATATTTAATAAAAATGAAGATCTGTCAGGCTACCCATGCTCAGGCCTAAACTACAAAGTATGGCAATCTCAACAGCCTGTTTCACACATGTCAGGTTGGTGTTGGCCCCTACATGGTACCATGATGAGCCAGTGTGAGGGTTGTCCCAGAAAATTATGAAGTTGGCCAGGGAATAAATAGGTATGCTTTTGATGCAGTAGCCATCAAGTGCAAGTAAAATATCCCAATTTTATGGAATTTGTGATAAAATCATATGTCTGGCTTGGTGCAGACTGGTGCAGATTTCCAGTATGATCAGCATGTTAGTGTGGATTTGTCACCCTACCCTAGCTGGTGTGACTGGTCACCTATTATGTCATGCTTCAGTCTGGACTCAGGCTGTGTTACTGCAGGGAGTCACAGAAACCTTGCAGCCAGTTTGGTCATGTGTTGCTGGCATGTGCACACAAAAATTAAGTATAACTTTGTCATCCATAAACTACAAGACCCAAGGTTTCTGATGCATGAGTTTTGCACCACATAGATAGCTACCTATTTGCATTGCCAATAATAAATAATGCATCCATTCAAACGAGTCAAATTGAAATGAACTCTCTCCTAGCATACTCAAGCAGTCAAAACTCATTACTCAAGTATTGTTTTCTAAATGGATGTCTGAAAGCAGCCCAAAATGCTTTCTGACAAGCAAACCATTGTGCTGCTAGCACACCCCCTGGAAATCAATGCACCATTTCATGATGTGCTTTGGAGATCAAAGCCCTGTAGTTCAAAAGAAACAGGTATGGCAACAATGGAGTGCAACAGATCACATTAATGGCGAAGGAGAGCTATCTCCAACTCATTTTTGCCTGTCACACAACAGGAGCCACCTGATGTGTTTTACACATGAAAATGCACAATTTCACATACACAACTTCATTCTCTTTCACTTGAGGTACCGTAAACCAGAGCAACTTTGGTCCATCGGTGCAACTTTGGTCCACCATGGAAAAGATATTTTGATGATTTTTTAAAAAATCCTTTTTAAAGAAAATGGCATAATCCTGCAAGGAAAGGAAGACCCAAAGAAAATACACAGATATATAAGATCACAACTGAAGGTTAAGCCTACAGTAGGAGATCTTGAAGCCGCAAGCGGGGACCTGACCAAGAGCAATGAGGAGGCAGCAGAAGTACTGAGTGCCTGCTTCAAATCGGTTTTTGTCCGAGAAGAGACTGGATGTTTGCCCCACTTTCCCAATGTTGTGGACGAGGAGGATACACTTAATGAATTTGACATATCCGAAACAGAAGTACTTAACGAGCTGAACTGTCTCAAAGAAGGTAAAGCGGGGGGCCCCGACGGATTTCCCGCAACCCTTTTGAGGAACACTGCAGAACAGCTTGTAAAGCCCATAACAAGACTGTTTAGGTGCTCTCTGACTCAAGGACAGTTGCCGAACCAGTGGAAAATGGCAGTCATCACTCCAATTTTCAAGAAAGGGAGCAAGAAAGTTGCTGGAAACTACCGTCCAATAAGTCTTACTTGTCAGCTGTGCAAAGTTCTGGAAAGAATTATTTTGAGACACATCAAAGACCACCTTAACAGGCACAGGCTGATCAGTGAGCACCAACATGGATTTGTAAAGGGTAGATCGTGCCAGACCAACCTACTTGAAGCATTTGAACTCTGGACTCAGTGGATGGATGAAGGCAAAGCTGTGGACATTGCATATCTTGACTACCAAAAGGCCTTTGATAGAGTTCCGCATGCAAGACTCATCCACAAGCTGAGTGCTTATGGAATAAGAGGACAACTGCTCGCTTGGTTAACCGACTTCCTCAGGAACAGAAAACAGCAGGTCACAGTGGGGAGAAGCCAGTCACAGTGTGTAGATGTGGCCAGTGGAGTACCGCAAGGTTCGGTATTGGGACCGACCTTGTTCTTGATCTACATCAATGAGCTTCCAACCCTGGTGCAGAGTGGCTGTAAACTGTTCGCAGATGACACAAAACTGTTCAAAGACATAGTAACCCAACAGGACTGTGCAACACTGCAAGCAGACCTTGACAGGCTATCTGAATGGTCAGATCAGTGGCTGCTTAAGTTCAACGTTGAAAAGTGCAAGATCATGCATTGTGGATATATGAACCCTGCAGAGGACTATGTCATGAAAGGTAATGATGAAGCCAGGACGATCTGCACTACAACTCACGAACGTGATCTGGGCGTGATTGTAGCCAACAACCTGAAAGCAACATGCCACTGCCAAGCTGCGGCACTGAAAGGAATGACTGCACTAAGGCTTTTAAAAATGGCTTTCAGAAATATTGATGTCAACAACTTCAGGTCCTTGTACACCACTTATGTTCGCCCGCATCTAGATTATTGCCTGTCTGCGGTTGGTCCTCACATGGTTCAAGATATACAAAAGCTTGAAAAAGTTCAGAGACGAGCTACCAAGCTTGTACGAGAAATTAGAGCCTATCCCTATGAAGAACGGCTGACGAGGCTTGATCTGATGAGCATGCGAGATCGACTCAAGCGTGGTGACTTAATTGAGACTTACAAGATTGTAACAGGAAAAGTTGATATAGATGCAGGACGATTCTTTGAATTTCAAGACAACGAAAGAACCAGGGGTCATCGATTTAAGTTGAAGAAAAGACGGTCAACGCACCACTTCAGAAACATGTCATTTGCTAACAGAGTAGTCACCCCTTGGAATGAGCTGCCAGACTATGTTGTGTCAGCACCAAGTACTAGTGCCTTCAAGAAGAGGCTTGACCGACATTGGGCTACCCTAGTCGACCACTAAAGCTCATCCTCTGATTAGTGCATTCCACGATATGAGCACCAAATAGACAGTGTCTACTCCTAGCTCATAACCTGAACCTGAACCTGAATCCATCGTAATATTTGGGACATTTTTTCATGCAGGCAATTTAGCCCAATATGTGCCCTAACTATGTGTGAACAGGCCTGCTTTTGTTATGTGACCTTGACAGCAGCAGAATTTTTATAATAAAAGCCTTGATTTTGGCGCAAAAAACATAAGTTGCTAGGATGATGTAAGGAGCGGAACTGGTAAGAACTGGAGCGACACTGGCTATCTAGACAGTAAGTACATGAGTTCTCCAAAGGCTTAGAGGAAGAAAACCCCCATTTTCTTTTTATGGTCATTTTTTAGGGGTGGTGGTCAAAGTTGCAAGCACTTTTTCCGTCAAAATGCTACAACTTTGGTCCACCAGGAAATCATTCTTAGGAAGCTTCTCATCACTATAGCATACTTTTTTCGTCATTTATGACAGTCAATGCTGTGAACAACAAAGTGAAGGACCAGCTCCAAGCAGGAACAGCATTCAAGTTGGTGATTTTGTAGAGTTCCTGTGCGAAGGGAGGGTGTATTGGGGTGAGGTGGTGGCTGTCGCAGATGATAGGCCGAAAATCCGTGCCATGGAGCAGTTTGGTAATAGTTAGGTTTAAGTGGCCTAGGCATGATGATATTCTTACCTACTCATTCAGCGATGTCATCCGCAAGCTCCAGCCTCCCATCCCGGTTGGCACCCGTGGACAATTCACCTTCATTTGTTAGAGAGAACTGTCAAGTGACTTCTGAAGGTGCTGAGTTTTGTGGTTCTTACTCAGCCGCGCATTTAAAAGCCAGAGTGCTCATGTGATTTTACTCCATCCAAAGCCCGGAACAGCCGTTCACTGTGAATCTGTTGCCCCATTGTAAACCAGTGTTTCTGTGATTGTTTTCAGCCAGTTGAAGTCCTGGTGTGTCAGGATATTTTTTAAAAGAACTTATGTGGACCAAAGATGCTCTGTAAAATACCATTTTATTCGTTAGCATTGAATAAAATAGGATTATAATCAGTGGTACAAAGTTGTAAAACCCCTCTACAACTTTGACCACTTGTTCAATAAAAAAAATAAAATAACTCAAGATGCTAGCATTCTTTTACTCTAGAGCAAACTGTTGACAAAGGTTGTAGCTTCCACCTTGCAAAAAACTAGCCAGATTGGACAACAATTAAAAAAGATATTCAACAAAAACCTAAAAAGTGGTACAAAGTTGCTCTGGTTTACGGTAGGTATTCTTTACTTCAACACTTTACTTTAGTCTGTTCCATATCAAGCTTGCAGTCAGAGTTTCTTCGGCAGATCGCTCCTCCGCTCAAGAATTTGCGTCTTAAATGTAAGAGCTGTATATAAAGAAATCACGCATTGCTTTCAGCAGGGCACTTCGGCTGCAAGCTTGAAACGGAACAGAGTATAGTGGCACAGCACCATTACATGACAAACTTTAATTTTTAAAAAATCGAAAAACTGTTGAGACACCCATTTGCAGTATGCTTAACCTAACCTTAGCTATCAGAAAAAATATCAAAGGAAAAACGAAAAATATCTGATAAAACGTACTTGAGTCATGAAAAACTTATTGACCTACTTTTGTTTCACCATTCAATTGCAAATTAAGAACTAAGAAGCATTCATACTGGTGTTGATGAAACAAATTTTACTGCTTACCTTAATGAATTAGGGACCAAATAGTTTATACGTTTATCGAATATTCCGATAATACACTACAACGAATTCAACCTCCCTCGAATCAAAATCAAAGCACACGTCCAAGCTCAGAGCTAGTCTGTTGACATTTTCAGATATGGCAGCTCTTCATGATAAACAAGGAAGACTTTATAGAAATATTCTCTTAAATTTTAGAGACATCAAAAAAATGTCGTCAGAAACTTCTCTAAGTCGCAACTTTTTAGCGACATATCGTAAATAATTCTCTAAAAAATCCGAGAAATATTGCTACATTAATGACGCAATAACTTCATTTATTAGGTATTCGAATGAACTGCTTTTGCAGGAAGCTGCTGACGCTGACAAAAAATCGGCACTCGAAATAGGTATCGAGACAACAAAACATCACTTCCCACATACTTATGTGAACACACTTTTCACTCGTATTCTGATGTGGTCCCCCCCGCGTGGTGGGACACCCACGTGAATGAAGTTGAAGTGTTTATTGGTGTTGGTCCTCATATAGTGATGATACGGATACCGCTTTCACCGTGGGGTGAGCCTTTTATTTTAAGTTACCTTACCTTACCTTTGCGGTAATCGGGATTTAAAAGGCCACTTGGCCTGGGGATCCCGCTCACATCGAGCTCGTGACAGGATACAGGCTGGGCTCTTAAGTTGCATGGTATTGATGCACATCAAAAGTTAGGGGTTGAAAATGTCATCATGTGTCAACTCTTAGCCGTCATGGGTGTCAACCGTGTCAGGGAAAATGTCATCAGTGTTTTTATACTTGAGCACAAGTGTGTTCAAATGATTATTTATTCACATTTCTCACAATAAAGCACTTGTAAGATGCATTTGGTACGTGTGACCTTGTATTGTATTGTATTGTATTGTATTACCTTCATGGACAATCCACGCGGGGCGTAATCCACGCGGGGCTTGGCGATTACAGTCCACCTTACCTTGCCTTACCTCACCTTTGCAATAACCAGAATTTAAAAGGCCACTTGGCCGCCCTGGAGGTTCCCTGCTCGTGCTCACATCGGGCTCGTAACAGGATGGAGGCTCGGGTGGGCTCTTAGGGGCCATAGTGCAAAGTACCTATGACTTGCAGTTTGATGAGGCACACCAGCCTGAGTTCAAAACCGGCATTAAACTTTCAGGCAGAGCTGGAAAATTTGTGAGTGAAAATTCCATCCAGACTGCAAAGCGTGGCATGTGCATGCCAGACTTAGGTGCATGCAGTTCGATTGGAGTGCACTCCTGGCAGGTAGGAGTGCATCCCTGTGTCCGTAAGTTGTGCACCTGGCATGCAGTGTTTCAAGCTCAGTTCAAGCTTACATGGCCCCGCAGGCAGACGGGATGCGCCACCCTCCCTCTTGAGGTTGTCGTAGAGCTCTGGCCGCTGTGCGTAGCGCTGGCTAAACGGACGGTCTGTGTCAATCTATCGGAGTTCGCCCGAGAGCCGTACGACGGCAGACAGAGCCTCAATCGGCTGTAGCCGATGCGACCTAGTCAGGTCGTTCGTGTGGATCTCCGTGTTTTTCCCTCGCCTCAGAGTAGCCGCTCTTTTCTAAATGCCCGAGCCGTTTTCTATGTGTATTTGTCTTGCGTCAAGAAGTACAGCGAACAGCAGAATCGAAAACGAATTGACAATGTTGTCGAAAGCCGAGGTCCTATGCTGGCCCTCCCTAGTACTAGCAATATGCCTGCAGGCGCGGCGAGAAAAAAGCTTGACGTATGCGTCAGCGCCCGGCTACCGGGAGAGCGCCTACTGCGACCTTTGTTCACAGTCATGACGTCACGACAACAGGTTCCTAAATGTCTCCGAAGGTTGGGACTTTTCAATTAGACAATCACTATTCTTTAGAATTGTGATTTTTTATTGAAAATCCCAACCTGACCTACCTCTCTAGGGGGATGTTTAACCCGCGTATGACTGGGGGGGGGGCTCTATAGAGCCCCCCCCCATCCCGTTTTTCAGCAATATCTTCTAAACCGTTTGACGGATCAACACGAAACTTTCCCTCAGAGGCATCAGTTTGAAACCTTGTGTTAAACTTTAAACTTTCTAGCTACTTTTGTTTGGCCGGAAATGACGTCAGAGTGACGTCGTGTCGGCCGTTTTTAATGCAAAATATTGAATTACGGCAAACGCTCTCAATAGCTCAGTTTTAAAGCTATATCCATTTTATCTGCATGAATGGACTACAAATACACGTAGCTATCAAACTGCTATCTCGAATTTTCGAAATTTTGAAAACTTTGAAAAATATATATTTACAATTACAAAAAAAAAATGTTTTTTTTTTTCATTTTTTCAAAAAGTGTGTGCTTTTTCGCAAAAAAAACGGCATATATGTGATAGAACACACACTGATGAACTACATTTGCAAGTTTGAACCCAATAGCTTCAAAAATAGCCAAGTTATTCGCATTATTGTCAAAATTTTACAATTATATATTTTTCAAATCCGTTTTCAGTAGGTACGTTTTTGATGTCGTACAGTAATATAAATGGCACCATCGTGTTTCTGAGCTCAAACTGCATCTGATAGGCACCTTTTTTTGCTGAAAAATTTCATTTTCAAAATTTGACCTTTTCTGACCTGAAAGTGACCTGACCTTCGGTAAATTCAGCTGACAATGACCTCAAGTGACACATACGACACTATTTTCGAAATTAACGAGTAAAATGGACCATAAAACATGCGTCACGTAACCGATACATGATATACAATTTTCGTGACCTAGGATGACCTGGCCTTGACCTTAAAAATTCGAAGTAAAAGTTCAGTACCCTCAGGGTATCTAAGGCATCTATCAAGGAGTGCGTAAACCAAAAATGAGCCTGATCAGACTTGTCAGCCGGCGGTTAGAGCCTAAATTGTGAACTAGCAAAAATGTCGATAATTTTTACTTTGACCTGACCTGTGACGTCATCGGAGACATCGAGGTCAATGATAATAGGTTTCGCTCGACAATTTTTCCAGGCCTATCAGACGCCGTTTGAATTTTGACGATCGGCCCAGTAGTTTCGGAGATAGGAGGGGTGGGGGCTCTGGAGAGCGGCCCCCCTCCCCCCCCCCCGTCACTTGCGTTATGGAAAATACCCCAGTCATGCGCGGGTTAACGTTTCGGCCGCGATTTTGGACATTTTGATCCCCGCCGAAACGGCACGGTCAACTTTCTTGCCATTTTCAGCATTTGGTCCCGTATGGGGGAGCTACCTTCTGGCAAAGTTGCGTGAAATATAATGGGCCCGTTTTGGGGTAATCGGCACGTGCATTTTCCCATAGGCTTAACGTGTGGAAATACGGGCAGCGGCCGCCTCAAGGGTGCCGCCGTGACCTTTGCACGATATGTTCTATACCGTATGGCACAGCGGTTACTAGGAAGGCTGAGGCCAGCGGCAGGCCGGTTTACAAATAACAAACTTGACGCACAATTGACGACAGGTAACAGATTGATTAATAAAGCAGTGACAATATAAATGAAAATGACAACATGAAATGACAAAACGCATAGATGATCCCTACAGGGTTTTCAGGGCTTCCGGATGGAATCGCCATTGTGAAATTTTTCCTTTTTCAGTTAACTGTGCTGATGAAAATGCCTTGGCATTTCTGGCAGTCACTGCTGAAAAAATCACAGCTGGTTAATTGAAGACAAAGATGAAAATCTGTGCAGTTCCCAAATGATACCTTTTGAGAAGTTTTGGTCTTTCAGCATATTTTGGTAGCACGGGCCATACAACCAAATCTTTCTCACGTTGGCCAAAATCACATCGGGGCGAACGAAATTCGCGGGAATCTAAAAAATCACGTCAGGACAATCAGGACCCTTTAACAAGCTTAACAGCTGGGTCCTTCTTACTGCCTGGGGCCTCCTGTGAATAACCGCTAGTGTGTGTCTGACCGCTAGGGCCCTTCTGACTCCTCAGTAGAGAGAAGGCCCTCTGTAGGTAGGAGGCCATTTGTAGAGACATAGATAACATGAATCATGTTATCTATGGTAGAGAGGAAGCCCTCTGTAGAGAGGGAGTCCCCGGGATTCCTCCCCCTTGGCCAAATCCTAGGCATGTGCCTGGGCAAAACCATTGACCTAAGGTCAAATCTGATAGATATACCTATTCTGAAAGAGCGTTAATAAATAATAGGGCTATCAAATGCGTTTCCGGGGCGCTGTTGCTCCATTGGTTTCCGATTTATGCGCCAGTCTGTAGATAAAATGGCGACATTTGACATAAAAATCGTCGAAATTTGGCCTTCAATGGCCTCTGATTACTTAACCTTTGACCTGACCAAAAAATTGAAAAAGTGAAAAAGTTATTTCGTCATTATTTATGACGCTCTTTCGAACACCGCCTACCCCGTATCGCTACGTGGCCCAGGAGCTGAGTTAAAAGGGGATGAGGTGTTCAAACACCCTCCCCCCGCAGGGCGTGGAAATCCAGGAGCCCTAGCGGAGCGCTGGCTAAACAGAAACTTCTTTGCTGTTCAGCCTCTCATCTCCACTCTTGTCTAACTAAGAAGTCTGCAATCCCCTTGCCCAAAGGAAGAATACAGACTTCATTCAGGCATAGTCTGACAGACCTAAGGAAAACGGATTTGAAGCGTCACTGCAGTTGATTCATGTGCCTTTAAATTGCCTCAAATATATCCGAGAACATTTTTGTCACGGCTTTTTACACAAACTTTCTCCGAGCCATACCTACACTTCCTGTGATCAAAACACGTGCAGAGTGATTCAACCCGCGCATGACTGGGTTATTTTCCATAATGCGGGTGACTGAGGGGGGGGACGCTCTCTACAGAACCCCCACCCTCCTATTTCCGAAACTACTGGGCCGATTGTCAAAATTTGCAGGGCGGCTGATAGCCCTGGATAGACTGTCGACCTAAATCTAATTTCATTGACCTCGAAGTCACCGATGACTTCACAGGTCTGAGGTCAGGTCAAAGAAAAATTATCAACATTTTGGCTTATTCACAACTTAGGCTCTGGCCGCCGGCTTACACGTCGGATCAGGCTCATTTTTGGTATACGAACTTGTTGATATATGTCGTAGATACCCTGAGGATAACAAACTTGTGCGAATTTTTAGGTTAAGGCCAGGTCATCCTAAGTCACAAAAATTTTATATCGTACATATATCGGTAACGTGACACATGTTTTATAGTCCATTATACTCATAGCTTTCGAAAACAGTGTCCTCTGTGTCATTTGAGATCAATTTCAGCTGAATTTAGCTAAGGTCAGTTGAAGGTCACTTTCAAGTCAAAAAGGTCAAATTTTGAAAATTAATTTTTCAACTAAAAAGATGTCGTATCAGATGCAGTTTAAGCTCAGTAACACGATGGTGCTAATTTATATTTATGTACGATCTCAGAAACGCACTGAAAAATTTATTTGAAAAATCTATAATAGTGAAATTGTTTACTATAATGCGCATAACTTGTCCATTTTTGAAGATATTGGGCTAAAACTTATAGAGTAGGCCACCGGTGGGTTTCCTATTACATAAATACGTTTTTTTCGAAAAGTCAAATAGGTACATTCTTTTTGAAAAAGCAAAAAAAATATATTACTTTTAATTATATGTATATATTTTTCGAAATTATCAAAATTTGGGGAATCCGAGATATCAGTTTGATAGCCGCGTTTGTTGTCAGTCCACTCATGCAAAGAAATTAGACCTAGCTTGAAAACTGAGGTCTTGAGAGCCATTGCCGTAGTTCAGTGTTTATCGGCCGACATGACGTCACTCTGACGTCATTTTCGGCCGACCTATAGTAGCTAGAAAGTTGAAATTTTGACACAAGGTGTCAAATTGAGGCTGCTGAAGATACCGCAAGTTTCGTGTCGATTCGTCAAATGGTTTGGAAGATATTGCCGAAAAACGGGATGGCGGCTCTGTAGAGCTCCTCCCCCCCCCCCCCCGCCCCAGTCCTGCACGGTTTAACTCCGTTCTATCTGATTCTTACCAGACTGTATATGTAGGTCCATCAGCACTACAAACACCACACTGTTTTCGTGATTCACAATGCACCCGACTCCCAAGGGAGTCTTGAGCGGTCGCCAAAGGAATATTCATACACACAACACAACACATACACACATTTATTTATTTCACACAAACACAACTCACACAATTTTCACTCACACAACTCGGTATTTCACACAAGCACAACTCGTTTAGAACATGACAATCATTGCATCACGCCCTGACCCAAGAGGCAACATAGAGGTGTCAATTCTTGAGGACCTGAGGCACTTCATATTACGAGGGGCGTTCAAAAAGTTTTCGGCCGACCATGAAGGAACAGAGATACGACACCGACTAGTGATGTCAATTACGGAAAATCGGAATACCTACCAAACCAACTACCAACCAAAACCGTGGAGAAATACCGAAACCAAACCAACTTGGGAACATGAGGAATACTAAAATGTTTCACCGTTCACGGGGCTTCTAGGGTCACTGGTCATACCAGGTCAGGTCACAGGTCAGGTCACCAAAGGTCACCAAGGGTCACCACATGAACCCAACTTTACTAAGGTTGTGCGATGCATGTTTTATGGCCAGTTTTTCATTTCCAACTCAATGGTGTTGGTTATAAGACCATCAGGTACGGTTTAGGTCACTTTCTGGTAGAGGTCAGGTCAAAAAAGGTCAAATTTCAAAGTTGATATTTTGCATAAAATGGGTATTGATTCGATGCAGCTCGTCACGGGGAGTCTAATGGTTTTGCGCTACGAGGTCTAGAATTGCTAAAAATTGAGTTTGAAAATTCTGACGTCATCAATTTTGAACAGTTTTTTCGCTATAACTTGGTCAAAAAAGAGGTATCGATCTCAAATTTGGTATGGAGATAGAATGCCGTAGGGACTATCACATTTATTTGTTTTTTTCGAAATTCAGAAAAAAAAACTTTGGATTTTTCGGCTATTATATTCAAAAAATCTATTTTTTAAATTTTGGGGGTCAAAATAAAAAGAATCGAAAAACCGAAATAGCAGTTTTGTAGCCCTCTTGATTCCACACCTTTTATGTCTGAAACATTTTTCTGTATCTCTAAAGCTGTAGGCCTGACAGCTCTTCCCGCGAAACCTTTTTTTGTCGAAAATGGCAGAAATGACGTCACTCTGACGTCATTAGCGGCCAACCTATCATAGCCTTTGGAAAAAAATTTTGGTCACCATGTGCGCTAGCGACTCCCGGGAGGGTACTGAAAGTTTGGTGACGATCGGCGCAGCGGTTCTCGAGATATATCGAAAAACTAAAGGGGGGGGGGCAAAAAATGCCCCCCCCCCACCCCACCGTCTGGAAGGTTAAGGTCCTAGGTGATTGGTTGGCCTTTCAGGTCAGGTCAATGACCAAAATGTCGAGAAAATCGGGACCTGTTTGAACGTCGTAAAGTGTGGCTGCCGTGGGGTTTTTCGGGGTGCTGATCACGAATATCATGTTAATTTTGATCACAGATGATGGGCTAATGCTAGCCGACATGCGCCAAATCGCGATTCCGGCCAAACGTGGTCTCGAAAAGTAGGTCACAGGTCAAAGGTCATTTGGGTCAGGGTCATGAAATTTTAAGAGTAGGTGTAAAGTTGATCAACTCGAGGGTACTGAGAGTTTCGTCGCGATCGGCCGCTTTTTACGCGTGTTATTCGCGAAAAACCGAGGGGGGGGGGGGGTCCGTTCGACCCGGGCGAGGGTGAAAACCTAGTCAATGAACATAGGACCCTAGCATCCTGCAACCAAGAGAAAGCTGACGTCTTGGTAAGGTACTTCAATGGGTGATGCCACTGAACTCTGGAGTGCCTTCAGTGACATCATACCGGTGGGATCATGGCGGGGTGCGCCCCAAGGGGAGGTGCACACCGGCCGCCCCCCCCCCCCTTGGGTCCGTCCCTGGTTTGCCTGCAGGGGTAACAACTGCCAAAATGGGCCATTTTTGCGGGAACAATTAATTATGTAATAACTTTTGACTCAAACCTTGCACGACTTACTTCTTCTGGCATCGTGTTACTCTCGTCAAGACACATCGAATGAATTGTAATTTGACCTTAAAAGTACCTACATCTTGAAGTTTTGAGTCTTGAGACATCAGGTCCAGTCTATGACCTGACCGGAAAAGGTCATGGTGCATTTCAGTCGATCCGTATCGTCGAGGTGAATACGTCTACAAAAGTTATTCGCGAGAAACTGCTATCATAGATATCGAACGTGACCTGAGATGACCTCAGGGGCACAAAGAGGGGTCGCTGGTGCATTTTCCGATTCAGTGTGTCATGTAAAAGGGAGATGTCGCAAAATTGACCTCACCTTATGTCAGTGATATCGAATTTCCGAGATATACATTCTTTACATACTGTTACTCTTATCAATCGCTGAAAGTTTCAAAGCGATCGTTCTAACTTCTATCGGTGTAACCCAAGATTCTTACAGGTGTAACCATATCGAGCATTGACTTTTTTCTTAGATGAGGTCACTTGAGTGACCTGGTGACATGACCTTTAACGACCCGGGGCTAGACTTTGCACATGTGCAAAAACGATGGTGTGCCAACCTTTTTTTAGGCTTTCACGAAGAAAACCTGAGGGAGAGTGAAAATTGCAAATGTCAAACTGAAGCTGGAACTGTTTTTCTTATGCCTTTGCATTTATTTTCAGATATTTATGTGTTTTAAATGTTCACTGGCATATATTTTGACTAGAGGAAGAAAACACTGACTATTTAAAATGAAGTTTTCATACAAGGTAAGCCAACTTTATCAATACCCAGTCAGTGCCGGAGATTGTATACTGTGTTTGTGTTATGCTTATTTTAGACCCAAAGCCAAGTGCCTGTCAATTTTTATATCAAGATGTAGACTGCATTGCACATGATGTTACATGGTGCGTGCGTGCGTGCGTGCGTGCAAGCCAACTGCCAATCATCCCCGAATGGTTAGTCATTTGCATATACAACTATGAAATTTACCAATCCAAATGTGTTTTTCCATTATTTCACCATGCTTTGTTCTCTGTCTTTCAGTTTGCGAATCTGCTGGGCTCAGTTTACCACAAAGGTAACCTAGTGTTCACTCCAGATGGGGAAACGGTCCTCAGTCCCGTCGGGAACAAGGTCACCCTCTATGACCTCAAGAGGTAAGTACACATACTCTGACAAACCATTCATCAATGCTGCTCTACCAACTACTTGCATTCACGCAACATGTTGCATATTTCATCGCCACGAAATGTCTCCGCCGCTGCACCTCGGCCGCAATTTGCCGCTGTGGACGGAGCTGCCCGTTGGACTGCCATTGGCCGGTAGCGAGTGACGTCATAGCTCGCCAACGAATGAGCCACCGGACGGAGAACACTGCGGTTCTTACAGATTTATTTGTACGTGTGGGATCCGGGGGACGATAGGCCGTGCCCCCCCCCCCCTCACTCGAACGAGTCGGAGACCACTAATGTTGAGTGTCCCCCCCCCCCACACACACACACACACAGTCCACACTCACACACACACCTTTCAACTTCAACCTTTACTATAGTCTGACAAAGCTAAGAAAGAACGGTTTTAAAGTGCAACAATTATTGATGCACGTCCCTGTACAGATAACCTTCTACATGTCCGAGATAATATCTGTCAATTTATAGCACAGGTTAGTTCTTGAGTTTTAGGTCAGATTTTAGTAGTTCTAGGTCCTTGAGGTAGGCTTTCCCCATGTCTAATGTGCGTGATGAGTGCGTCGAGGTGCTTTAGCTCCGTTCTTTCTTAGGTTTGTCAGACTCAAGTCTTATGGTGAAAACTGAAATAAAAACAAAGATGCTGAACTGTGAACACCATATTCCTTGTGGGTTCTTACGGGTCGTTTCCTTGGAATTTCCTCTCGGCAGTCTGAGAATACGAGATGTCGTCCTTTGAAAGTCCATGGTGCTGGGATAAATGCAGTAGGTAGGGGAGAGTGGGGCACATTCGTGCATGGGGCACATTCGTTTTCAGCAATTTATGGTTACACGAGTGACTGCACGAGCTAAAGGTAAATATGAAAATATGTCTATCATTGCCGCCCTTCGTTCACTGTAGGAGACAACACTGTACCTGATGTCATGCTTGATAAAAACGCAAATTTGTCATATTCGTGGGCTTTCCAAACTTTTCTCATATCATCCATTTTCGTGATCCTGACTCGGAAATGTGGTTTAGCTTTTCAAAATTGGGTCCGAAGAAGCTCACTCTATTCACGGAACTGCTGCAAACTTGTTTGTTGAAAAACTGTCATTTTTTCAATAAGAAATTTTGAATTATATTACAAATAGTGTTGTGGGGCAGGTTCGTGCACGCACTGCCTAGGGGCACATTCCTGCATATTTTTTTCGTTTTTGCGATTTATGACTTTATCTGTAGTAGCGACGCTCGCCTGACTCAGTCTCGGCTGCTTGCGACGTCGTGACAAGTAATTCACGTGACCCTTGGAGAGGTCACGGAGGCGGGTCGATGGCCGGCGGTTGGCACCAGGGTATATAGAACAACGGTTGGCACCAGGGTATATAGAACAACGTTGGCACATTCTTGTTGGTCAGCCAATTCTTTCTACATACGTTGTGCAATGCATTCCTGTGGAAAGGAATCAAGTAAAATGACCCCCTGCCCATTTCTTTTGGTAAATTTCTGGCAATGCCCGGTAATTCATTTAATTTTGCAGGGTGCACGGAAGTGCCCCACCCCATGCACGAATGTGCCCCATACCTGGGGCAGTTTCGTGCAAACGTTAAGAGTTATTAAAAGTCATTTTTTTCTAATAGAAGCGGTAACTTTAGAGGATAAGTTTTAAAGAGGAAAAATATGTGCAATAGTTCCTTTCCATACTACAATCAACAATTTTGCCGTTGCACTAACCAAAGAACAGATATATGGATTTATCCATTTTTTGCACGAATGTGCCCCACTCTCCCCTACATCACTTGAATCTTAAGTTAGTGCAGAAAAAATGTTTCGTCTAAAATCCATCTATTTTTGGTGATTTTTGCCAGCTGCGGCCAGTCCGTTGGTCCGATACCAAATCAGAGGACACAGGAGCGAAAGAACTTTGAAAGAGCTATTTATTGCGCCTTTTTGCGTCGTTGTAGCTCTTTTGGTTCATTACTTATTCGTCGATTTGTGAAAACAATTGTCAAAATCATTTTTTTCAGCATCATTATACCTGTGGCAACCTGCACTAATGACCTTATCATTGACTTGAGGCCAGAATGATAGAAAAGTCGCCGGCTGCGTGCGTGCGTGTGTGTGTTTCTTTTTTGTCTCTAAAGCCGCCTTACAATTGCGCCTGCAACGTGAAAAATAAATGATTGCTGATTTGGAATGCAATGTCAGCCAGCCTAACTGATATGTTTTCACATGTTAGTTAGCATATCGAATTCCATCTGGCACGATATAGATTATCGGGTTGACTGGGAGCACCAGGACCATAAGTGTGCTCCGTGTTACCTCCGTTTTTGGAGGTTTTCGTCGGAGCCTTTAATCTTTAGGGCCTGTCTTTTTCTTTTTGTCTTCGTCACTTCTTTCTTTTGTTTTGATGAAACCGATAGACCCTCGTTCCGGTGATGCCTTAGCATTGCCGACCGCGTGTGCTCTGTGCTTGGAATAAAATGACACATGCTGTCGTTTTTGGCATCACCCTCAAGTTCCCAATTCATGTCGATGTTCATTTCTGTGATATCGAGGCCTGTGGCTTGGTGTGCACCGCGGCTCTGAGTAACCGGTTGGGTGTGCTGGGCCGCGTCGCCAGGAGCCGCTCGCAGACCATGCCGGTGGAGAGCCAGACTAACATCACGGCGCTGGCGCTGTCGCCCAACGGCCGGCTGCTCATCACCGTCAACGAGCGTGAGTCGAGCGCCCGCACTGGTCGCCGTGTATGCAGTTCAGTGCTGACGGGACCGCCGGACAGTACAGCCCAGCACGCCCTGACGGGGCTGCCGTGTACGCAGCTCAGTACTGACGGGACTGCGGGACGGTACAGCCCAGCGCGCGCTGACGGGGCCGCCGGGCTGTACAGCTCAACATGCACTGACGGGGTCGCCGTGACGTATACAGCCCAGCGCGCGCTGACGGGGCTGCCGGGCAGTACAGCTCAACATGCACTGACGGGGCCGCCGTAACGTATACAGCTTAGCACGTGCTGACGGGAGTCGGGACCCCGGGACAGTATAGTCGACTACAGAATGATGTTCCACTCCTCAGAAGCTATCAGTTGACGGGAGCGCTATAAGTTGTGCCGTTTATCACGCAATTAAGCGTGTCGATTGTGAGCATTGGGAGTGGACAAAGTTATGATTTGTGAACTCAGCCCGTGTGATGCGGCACAGCCTACCACTCCAGGCAAATAATTGCCTGTGAAAAGTGGAACATCATTCTGTAGTCGACTATACAGCTCGTCGCCGACCTAACCGCCGTATGTTCAGAGCAGGACGGACTGTGACTTTGTGTGCCACTGTGTGTGTATCCGGCTCTCGTCGGATGCCTTTGTGTGCCACTGTGTGTGTGTCCGGCTCTCGGCGGATGCCTGCCCACCGACTGCCGCTCGCCGCAGTGTGGGCCTGTGGTCTGTGACCGTCTCCGGCTGTCTGTGTCCCCGGCAGGTGGCGAGGCGCTCCTCATCAGCATGGCCTCGATGGCCGTGGTGCACCGTCACCGCTTCCACCGGCCCGTGCGTGCCGTCCAGTTCAGCCCCGACGGACGCTACTTCGCGCTCACCAAGGAGAACCTCGGTCAGTATTACCGAGAACCTCGGTCAGTATAACTGAGAACCTCGGTCAGTATTACCGAGAACCGCAGTCAGTATTAGGGAGAACCACGGTCAGTACCACGGAGAAGCTCGGTCAGTATTACCGAGAACCTCGGTCAGTATTACTGAGAACTTCGGTCAGTGTCATAGAGGACTTCGGTGTTAGGAAGAACCTCGGTCAGTACCAAGAAGAACCTCGGTCAGTACCAAGAAGAACCTCGGTCAGTACCAGGAAGAACATTGGGTCAGTGTAGAGGGAAACTCGGTCAGTACCAGTGAGAACCTTGGTCAGTATTAGGAAGAACCTGGGGTCAGTATTAGGGACAAAATGCCACCTCGGCTAGACTGCCGCCACCTTGCGAATGCTTACTAAGATGTTAGACAATGTCGACTGGTCGAGTGCGTTGGCTATGGTTGTCGTGTTCGACTGTTTCCTGTTCGTATTTGTATCTCGCTCTGAATGCGCTCATATCCCCATGTACCAACGCTGCTCTGTTCCAAAGCCGCCCGCGGGGCCCTGGCTGTGTGGTGAGCGGGTCGCTGCTCTGTTCCAAAGCCGCCCGTCGCGGCCCTGGCTGTGTTGTGAGCTGGCCGCTGCTCTGTTCCAGTCTTTGTGTACCGCACGCCGGGCGGACTGAACCGCATGTACAACCCGTTCGTTCTGGAGCGGGTCCTGCAGGGCAGCTACGACGCCACCCTGTCCCTGGCCTGGACGTCCGACTCCAGGTACGGGGGCTGCCGGGCGGGGTTTCATGTGACGCCCGACTCCAGGTAGGGGGCTGCCGGGCAGGGTTTCGTGTGACGCCCGACTCCAGGTAGGGGGCTGCCGGGCAGGGTTTCGTGTGACGCCCGACTCCAGGTAGGGGGCTGCCGGGCAGGGTTTCGTGTGACGTCCGACTCCAGGTAGGGGGCTGCCGGGCAGGGTTTCGTGTGACGCCCGACTCCAGGTAGGGGGCTGCCGGGCAGGGTTTCGTGTGACGTCCGACTCCAGGTAGGGGGCTGCCGGGCAGGGTTTCGTGTGACGCCCGACGCGGACAGGGCCGCCGTAGTGACCAGAGTGGAACGATTTGGGACACTCGGTGCGGTACTTACATGAACCGCCACTGAGCTCTTTCACATAAATCACCATGAGTGAGTGTGAAAGACGAAGTGGAATCCATTTCTCAATAATCTGGCAAAATATTAGCCCACCCATCTGCTACCGGCGACTTTTTGCGCCGATCTTTTCGTAATCACGTCATCAATAGGCAAGCGCCTTCACGAAGCGTCCTGTACTATCAGCCGCGTAGGCACGCAATAGTTGCTGTGAAACTAGTTGCTGTTCTCAACCTGCCACTCACTTCGTCGGGGTAATGGGTGTGATATTTTTTTATATTTCGCTTAAACGACTTTGATTCTTACAAGACCAAGATGGAGCTGCCGGAGCTCCCCTTTCAGCCCGGGTATGTCATCCGCCACATTGTCCCGTCCGATGCGCCCGCAGGCTGGTGGCTGCCGGCTCGGACGATATGTCGACGCGCATCTACCCGATCGAGGACATGGCCAACTTTGGCGTCACCTCGCTGGGCGGCCACAGCGCCGCCGTGCTGGGCGTCTTCTTCGAGAGCGAGTCGCTCGACTGCTACACGGTCAGCAGGTGAGTTCTGGACTCCGCTACACGGTCAGCAGGTGAGTGCTGGACTCTTATACAGTCAGCAGTGGGTGCTGGACTCCGCTACACGTCAGCAGAGGGTGCTGGACTCTCATACAGTCAGCAGTGGTGCTGGACTCTACACGGTCAGCAGGTGGGTGCTGGACTCCGCTACACGTCAGCAGAGGGTGCTGGACTCTCATACAGTCAGCAGTGGTGCTGGACTCTACACGGTCAGCAGGTGGGTGCTGGACTCCGCTACACGTCAGCAGGTGGGTGCTGGACTCTACACGGTCAGCAGTGGGTGCTGGACTCTACACGTCAGCAGGTGGGTGCTGGACTCTACACGGTCAGCAGTGGGTGCTGGACTCTACACAGTCAGCAGGTGGGTGCTGGACTCTACACGGTCAGCAGGTGAGTGCTGGACTCTACACGGTCAGCAGGTGGGTGCTGAGCTCTACACGGTCAGCAAGTGGGTGCTGGACTCTACACAGTCAGCAGGTGGGTGCTGAGCTCTACACGGTCAGCAAGTGGGTGCTGGACTCCGCTACACGGTCAGCAGTGGGTGCTGGGCTCTTATACAGTCAGCAGTGGGTGCTGGACTCCGCTACACGGTCAGCAGGGGGTGCTGGGCTCTACACGGTCAGCAGGTGGGTGCTGGACTCCGCTACACGGTCAGCAGGGGGTGCTGGGCTCTACACGGTCAGCAGGTGGGTGCTGGACTCCGCTACACGGTCAGCAGGGGGTGCTGGGCTCTACACGGTCAGCAGGTGGGTGCTGGACTCCGCTACACGGTCAGCAGTGGGTGCTGGACTCCGCTACACGGCAGCAGTGGGTGGATGACCTTGCGCTGACCTGCCGCCGCTGCGTGACGGGTCCGGTACCCCGCCACTGTGTGACGCGGCCCGTCGCCCTGTGACGACCCCCTCCCTGCCGCTGTGTGACGACCCTCCCTCCCTGCCGCTGTGTGACGGTCCCCTCCCCCCCTGTGACGGTCCCCTCCCCGCCCCTGTGTAACGGTCCCCTCCCTGCCGCCCTGTGACGGTCTCCCTCCCTCAGGAGCGGTCAGCTGTGCTGCTGGACGTGCAGTCACACGCTGGATGAGCTGCGGCCCAGGGAGCGCACCGGGAAGCAGCCGGCCGCGACCGAGCTGCCGCTGGATGACGGGCCGGAGGAGCAGCAGAAGGCCGAGCCGGCCGCCGACGGTACGGGGGGGGGGGGCGGAACTGGAGACGGATAATACGGAACTGGAGACGACGGATAATACGGAACTGGAGACGGATAATACGGAACTGGAGACGGATAATACGGAACTGGGGACGGGTGACACGGAACTGGGGACGGATGATACGGAACTGGGGACGGGTGACACGGAACTGGGGACGGATGATACGGAACTGGAGGCGGATATTACGGAAATGGGGACGCATAATACGGAACTGGATGCAGACGGGTGCGGAAGTGGCAGGAAGGGTACGGGGCTGGATCCGAAGGGTAGGGAGTTGAGTGCGGCATTGTGAAGGACCCGATACGGACCGTCCAGCGTGGCTCTCCCCAGTCACTGACCGGTCCACCCCACCCTCCCCAGCGGGGGCGGACGCCACTACCGCTGACCGATCCACCCCTTCCTGCCTTCCCCAGCGGCGGGCTCCGACTCTGACGACGACGACCGGCTGCCGCGCGCCAAGTACAAGCAGCGCGCCAAACACTTCCTGCTGGACGTGGTGCGCGAGGGCGGCTCCGGCTCCGGTCGGATCGAGCTGAGCTCGGCCGACTTCCACCGCGCCCGGCGCGTGCTCGTCTCCGGCTACACCAACGGCGCGTTCCTCATCCACGAGATGCCCGACGCCGCGCTGATCCACTCACTGAGGTAGGGGGCTGATCCACTCAGGTACGGAACTGATCCACCCTCTGTGGTACGGAACTGATCCACTCACTGAGGTACGGAGCTGATCCACTGTCTGAGGTATGGAACTGATCCACTCCCTGAGGTAGGGAGCTGATCCACTCACTGAGGTACGGTACTGACTACTGATACACTCAGGTACGGAACTGATCCACTTACTCAGGTACGAAACCGATCCACTCTCGGTATAGGTCTACACTCTGAACCATGTGAGGGTGTGCGATAGTCATTTCTTATTTCTTACACTACGGTGTGCCGATCCCTCGGGCCGGATCGGTGGTATCTGTACTGACCCTTCCAGTCAGCTAAATTAGTGGGTTTGGGCTACCACCCGTATACGCTCTCTGACATCTCGAGCGCCCACCTCGGACCCCGAGGCTGGAGACTGGCAGCGGGGCCGGCCCGCTCCGTGAAGCTGACGGGTCGGCGCCCCAGCCGGGGGACTGGGGTCGCCACGCAGTTACCAAGTTCTGAGCTGAACGCAAACTTTCGCTGCATGCTTGCATAATTTTTATAGGAATAAGGGATGTCCCGAAGTTCTCGTGGCTGTTATTTAATGTTAACCTCGTATGTTTCTTGACGCCGTGTTAATTACTGCACTTTAGATTCCATCAATTTTCATAATTCTCACAGACTGCGATGTCACGTCCTTGAAATTCGCGGACATCACATGAAACGCAATGTCGCATTTTCTGCCCCTTGCACTTCCTGAAGTATCTAGCATTTAAGTAGGTGAAGATAACTGCAACGACCTTTGTTTGTTTGTTTGTTTGTTTGTTTGTTTGTTTGTTTGTTTGCTTATTTATTAAATGCAGTGCTCAATTTGCTAAGTTCTTCAACGTGCACCCACGAGATCTGATTTTGACGTGATATGCTCCTGTGTCTGTATGTCTGCAGTCTGTGTCAGTGTGTCGGTCCGGAATTTAGTGATGTCAATTACGGAAAATCGGAATACCGATACCAAACCAAATACCAACCAAAACCGTGGAGAAATACCGAAACCAAACCAACTTGGGAACATGAGGAAAATACCAACTTTTTACCGATTCCTTAGCCTCTTAAACATTAGCGAGGGTTCATGATACTAACAAAATACCAAACACATTAGGATTGAAATACCAAATACCGAGTTGGTATCGGTATACCAAAAAGTTGGTATCCGATTGACATCTCTAGTCCGGATGGTGTCACTGTGTGTCGGACCAGGTGGTGTCAGTGTGTGTCGGACCAGGTGGTGTCACTGTGTCTGTGTCACAGTGTATCGCACCAGGTGGTGTCACGGTGTCTGTGTCGGACCGGGTGGTGTCACTGTGTCTGTCTGTGTCACAGTGTGTCGGACCAGGTGGTGTCACGATGTCTGTGTCACAGTGTATCGCACCAGGTGGTGTCACGGTGTCTGTGTCAGTGTGTCGGACCGGGTGGTGTCACTGTGTCTGTCTGTGTCACAGTGTGTCGGACCAGGTGGTGTCACGGTGTCTGTGTCACAGTGTATCGCACCAGGTGGTGTCACGGTGTCTGTGTCAGTGTGTCGGACCGGGTGGTGTCACTGTGTCTGTCTGTGTCACAGTGTGTCGGACCAGGTGGTGTCACTGTGTCTGTGTCAGTGTGTCGGACCAGGCGGTGTCACGGTGTCTGTGTCAGTGTGTCGGACCAGGTGGTGTCACGGTGTCTGTGTCAGTGTGTCGGACCAGGTGGTGTCACGGTGTCTGTGTCACAGTGTGTCGGACCAGGTGGTGTCACTGTGTCTGTCTGTATCAGTGTGTCAGACTAGGTGGTGTCACTGTGTCAGTGTGTCGGACCAGGTGGTGTCACTGTGTCAGTGTGTCGGACCAGGTGGTGTCACTGTGTCTGTCTGTGTCAGTGTGTCGGACCAGGTGGTGTCACGGTGTCTGTGTCAGTGTGTCGGACCAGGTGGTGTCACGGTGTCAGTGTGTCGGACCAGGTGGTGTCACTGTGTCTGTCTGTGTCAGTGTGTCTGACCAGGTGGTGTCACTGTGTCTGTGTCAGTGTGTCGGACCAGGTGGTGTCTCTGTGTCTGTGTCTGTCACAGTGTGTCGGACCAGGTGGTGTCACTGTGTCTGGGTCACAGTGTGTCGGACCAGGTGGTGTCACTGTGTCTGTGTCTGTGTGTCGGACCAGGTGGTGTCACTGTGTCTCTGTCTGGTGTCACAGTGTGTCGGACCAGGTGGTGTCACTGTGTCTGTCTGTGTCACAGTGTGTCGCACCAGGTGGTGTCACGATGTCTGTGTCACAGTGTGTCGGACCAGGTGGTGTCACGGTGTCTCTGTCTGTGTCACAGTGTGTCGGACCAGGTGGTGTCGTCGGTGGCGCTGAGCCCGGCCGGTGACTGGGTGGGCCTGGCCTGCTCCGGCCTGGGCCAGCTGCTCGTCTGGGAGTGGCAGTCTGAGACGTACATCCTCAAACAGCAGGGACACCAGAACAACATGACATCGCTGGCCTACGCGCCCGGCGGCGACCTGCTCGTCACCGGCGGGGAGGACGGCAAGGTCGGTCACCAGAGGGGGCACGGGATCGAGCGGTCACCAGAGGCGGTCAGAGGAGGGGTCACCGGTGGGGGCAGGGGAGGGGTCACCGGCGGGGACAGGAACGGGTCGGGAGGGGTTGAGAAGATCGGTCAGTGACAGGGGAGGGGCGCGGAGGCCAGCCCATAGGTAGAATTTGGACACGACGTATTCAACCATTGGACGTGGACCTGCATTACTTACCTTAGTACAGATTCAAAGAAACAGGTGTTTCTACTATAAGGTTTGATTATGACCTTTGGTAAGGCTTATCTTGTCCCTGGATACTTTTAGTGCGCGGGCGCGTCCTAAAGCGATCCTCGTCTGCTTGGGTTACCTTTGGACGCCCCCCCCCCCCCATTGTGACCCACTGATCACTGGGTGTGACCCGGTGGCCGTCCATCTGCTCTTGGACCGCCGCTGGACGCGCACCTCCTGTGACCCCACTGACGGCTCTGTGTGTGTGTGACGTGTGTATATGGGGCGCAGGTGAAGGTGTGGAACACGCTCTCCGGCTTCTGCTTCGTCACGTTCGTGGAGCACTCGGCGGCCGTCTCGGGCGTGGCCTTCACCCAGTCGGGGAAGGCGGTGCTGTCCGCCTCGCTCGACGGCACCGTGCGCGCCTTCGACCTCACCAGGTGGGCAGGGGGACGCCTTCGATCTCACCAGGTGAGAAGGGGCCGCCTTCGACCTCACTAGGTGAGAAGGGGCCGCCTTCGATCTCACCAGGTGAGAAGGGGGCCTCTGACCTAACCAGGTGAGAAAGGGCCGCCTTCGACCTCACCAGGTGGGCAGGGGGCCGCCTCTGACCTGACCAGGTGAGCAGGGGGCCGCCTCTGACCTGACCAGGTGAGCAGGGGGCCGCCCTCGACCTCACCAGGTGAGAAGGGGGCCTTCGACCTGACCAGGTGAGCAGGGGACCGCCTCTGACCTGACCAGGTGAGAAAACACGGCACGGTCGAGGCTGTCTGCCTCACCACGACAGATGGTGGGGGGGGGGGGGGGGCAGCAGCATGCAGCAGACACCACTGGTCGGGACGGGACTCAGGGAATTCAACTGATTGTGTGCAGGTCCAAACGTGTGGTTGAATTTAACTCATTTGCTACGTTTTGATGCTCCATTGTGTCGTATTTGATTTGTTTTTTGTTTTGTTGGGTTAGGCCCTTTCGGTCCAATTAGACCATTTCAGAGCCGGGAGGATGATAGGATGTAGGGGGAGACATTGGTCTGGGCAGGCACCCTAGTGAGTCGCCGGGGCTGAGCCCGTCCAGAGGACAGGCCACCCAGCCCCAAGGCACTCTCTGCACCCGGCTACGGGGTGCGCTCCCTCAGGAGCAGCGGTGCCGCTCCAAGGGAGCAGCCCGCATGAGATAAAGTTGCCTGTCCAGCCCGGAGGGGGGTTGCGGCGTGGAGGAGAAGGATTTCAGTATCCTGAGGATAGAAGCACGGAACGGTGATTGTGTCGCACCCAGACAGTTAAACGCATAGTCCATGTATTGATACTTCGTGTCCACTGTCATGTAGCCCCGTAATATATGTAGCTCACCGCTGACTGTGCGCGCCATCTGTCGCCGTCTGCAGGTACCGTAACTTCCGTACGCTGACGTCGCCGCGGCCAGCGCAGTTCGCTTGTCTGGCGGTGGACAGCAGCGGTGAGCTGGTGGCCGCTGGCGCCCAGGACCTGTTCGAAATCTACCTCTGGTCGCTGCAGCTCGGAAAACTGCTCGAGGTCCGTGGCACGGGAACTCAATGGCGTGTGGTATATAGGATATAACTTCTATCAGACTAACAGTTCACTGGCAGGCTGTGGTATATAGGATATAACTTCTATCAGACTAACAGTTCACTAGCAGGCTGTGGGTTATAGGATATAACTTCTATCAGACTAACAGTTCACTGGCAGGCTGTGGGTTATAGGATATAACTTCTATCAGACTAACAGTTCACTGGCAGGCTGTGGGTTATAGGATATAACTTCTATCAGACTAACAGTTCACCAGCAGGCTGTGGGTTATAGGATATAACTTCTATCAGACTAACAGTTCACTGGCAGGCTGTGGGTTATAGGATATAACTTCTATCAGACTAACAGTTCACTAGCAGGCTGTGGTATATAGGATACGGGCCGGCCTAGGTCGGCCGATGGACGGCTCCGCGAGGGCCATCCAAAGGTAGCCTTTGGCGGTGGCCCGGGCCCCGGTGGCGAGGAGCATTTTTAAGTCCCCGCCCTTTTTTTAACTCAAGTCAAAGTCGCCAGTTTTAGACACCTTTCGCTTACCCCAAGCGCTCAAAACTACAGCAATAACACGTTTTATCCTGCAGTGGAACTGCAGAGGCTTGCGTTCTAGCACTCCAGAACTGCAAGCACTAATCCGCTCTCAGCGACCTTTGGTTGCTTGCATCCAAGAAACCAAACTCAGATCTGAGTCCAGGTTCCCCATGAAAGGATTTTCGGTTTTTCGCAGGGACCTTGCTACTGAAACCGTCGCGCACGGAGGTGTTATGGTTCTGGTCCATAACGCCGTGCCTGCGAGATGTATTGATTTAAGCTCGCCCCTTCAGGCGGTAGCGGTCCGCATTCATCTAGGCCAGCGTGACATCACTGTGTGCTCACTTTACTGTCCCCCTGGCGCAGCTCTTCCTCTTCTGGAACTACGCCGGCTAATTGCCGAGCTCCCTCCACCTGTGATGCTTCTGGGTGATTTTAACTCTCACCACTCTGCTTGGGGATGTGATTCTGTGTGTACACGCGGTCGACTTTTAGCGTCCTTGATAGACGAGGAGGGCCTTTGTGTTTTAAACACTGGTGCTGCTACCCATTTCACCATGCCGTCGGGACATTCATCAGTTCTAGATCTCAGCCTTGTCAGTCCACACCTTGTGCCGCTTTTTACGTGGCGAGTGGACGCGGACTCTTTTGGTAGTGACCATTTCCCCATATGGCTTGAACTGCGTGAGCGGCCCTCGGTTGGCTGCCGGCCACCGAGATGGAACCTGCGGAGGGCAGACTGGGAGAAATTTCAAACGTGCTTGGAGGATGCTCTCTCATCTGACCCTACAGATGATCTGTCAGTAACCGATTTCACCTCCTTACTCATTGAAGCAGCCAAGGCATCCATTCCTCGTACATCGGGGGCGCCTTCTCGCCGGCCGGTCCCATGGTGGTCCGATGCGTGTCGAGACGCCATCAGAGCGCGGAAACGAGCGCTGCGCGCTTTCAGGCATAACTGCACCACCGCAAACATGATCGCGTTTAGAAAAGCCAGAGCGTTCGCTAGGTGGACGGTCAAGAAAGCTAAACACGAATCCTGGGTGGAATACATCAGCCAGCTTAACAGATTCACGCCAATCTCCGAGGTTTGGTCCCGTATAAAACGTATATCAGGTCGTTTCTCCTCATCCCCTCTTCCTGTTCTGAGTGTGTTTGGCAGAAATGTGTTGAACCCAGCTGATGTAGCGTACGAAATAGGCCGTGCGTTACATGACCGCTGTGTCGGTGACTGTTCTGACCCCGACTTCGCCCGCCATCGTGCTCGGTGCGAATCGACTGGCGTCAATTTTAACACATCACAACATTTTAGCTACAATGATCCCTTTACTATGGAAGAGTTAAAGTCCGCTATAGGTGGCCTGAAGTGTGTCGCAGAAGGCCCTGATCTTGTACACAATGAGATGCTTCGGCGTCTCCCGTCACCGGGACTTGAAGCATTGCTCCATCTTTTCAATGCGCTCTGGGAAAGAGGGCTGTATCCCGAAACATGGCGGACGGCCATCATTATCCCGGTGCTGAAGGCTGGTAAAAGCGGGCTTGATCCGCTTCACTACCGCCCTATTGCGTTGACATCTGCCCTGGGCAAGCTGCTTGAGCGAGTTGTAAACGCGCGTCTCGTCTGGTTTCTGGAGGAACAAGGTGTTTTATCTAACTCGCAGTGCGGTTTCAGAAAGTATCGGAGCACAGTAGACCACATTTTAGCCCTTGATACCGAGGTTCGTTGCGCATTTAGGCGGAAGCGACACATTGGTGCATTGTTTTTCGACATTGAGGCTGCGTATGATACCACTTGGCGTTTCGGTATTTTACAAAAGCTTTTCAAGTACGGTATACGCGGTACAATGGGCCATTTCCTCGCCAGCTTTTTATCTAACCGGTCTTTCAGAGTCCGTGTCGGTGGCAACCTCTCAGAGCAGTTCCCCCAGGTCAACGGTGTCCCCCAAGGAGGAGTCCTAAGTGTCGTGCTGTTCGGGGTAATGATTAACGATATTGCCGATCACCTGCCCCCTTCCATTGGCCGTGCCCTTTTTGTGGATGACTTCTCTATCTGGGCCAGTGGTGCAACCACACGTATAGTAGAGAGACAGCTCCAGTTGGCAATTAAAAGATTAGAAAACTGGAGTGCTGTTAACGGACTACGATTCTCGACAGCCAAAACTGTAGGTGTCCACTTTTGCCGTTTTCGCCGTAATTGCCCTGACTTCTCTGTCAGGCTAAGGGGTGCAGTGATCCCTGTGAAGTCGGAGGTGAAGTTTCTTGGGATGGTAATAGACAGCCGTCTTACCTACCGCACTCACCTGAAAGAGCTCCGCGACCGATGTTTTCGAGCTATGAATGTTTTGAAATGTGTTGCGCGTACCTGCTATGGGGCGGATCGTAAGACACTGCTCTTGCTTTATCGTGCTCTTGTCCGTTCTAGACTTGACTACGGCTGTTTTATATACGATAACGCCACGGAGACCTCGAAACGTATTCTGGACTCTGTGCACCATACTGCTCTTCGTATTGCCACTGGTGCGTTCCGGACCACCCCAGTAGCCAGCCTCCTTGTAGAGGCCCACGAGCCACCTCTTGCCTTGCGTCGCCAGCTACTGGGCATGAGATATACCATAAAACTCCGCCAGTTGCCTTCCCACCCTGCCTATGATGCAGTTTTCTCACGTGCCAACCTGGCGCTTTTCAGAACCGGAGAAGGTGCACGTACTGTCCGCTACCCCCTTTCTGCTCTCGTATGCAATCGCTGCTCTCGGAAGCTCAAATTAAACTTCGGGGGGTCATGCGTAAGGAGTGGCCATCTGTCCCACCGTGGAGACAAGTCCCGCCAAAGGTGGACCTTTCCCTCACCGATGTGAGAAAAGGCGACATCCCTCCAGCTGTTTTAAAGGCTCGTGCGCTGGAACATATTTCAAGGTACTCTGACTACATAGCCTGTTATACTGACGGCTCAAAGACTGATGACGGTGCCGGGTGTGCTTTCGTCTGCGGCGACGCTGTGCGGTGTTTTACCTTACCTAAACATGCATCCGTTTTTTCCTGCGAATTGGTCGCTATCCTCAAACTCCTGTGTTTTATCGAGATTAATCCCGCTCGGTCATATGTTATTCTTTCTGACTCATTGAGTGGTCTCCAGTCCTTGTCACAATTCTATCCTTCTGACCCCCTCGCACAGGAGATTCTTCTTCGTGTGACAGCCCTCGACCGAGAGGGTACGTCGGTGTCTTTTTGCTGGATCCCTAGCCACGTCGGTATTCACGGCAACGAACGGGCGGACCGAGCTGCGAACCATGCTGCGCAGTATCCGTGCTCCCGCCGATTCCCTCTACCCGCCAGGGACTTTGTACCGGCGGTGGGCTCTTTCCTCCTCGGAAAGTGGCAGGAGGCCTGGAGCCAATCCCACGGTAACAAACTTTTACGTATCAAGCCAGGTTTAGCTACCTGGTTGTCGGCCTCACGCAGATCGCGACGCGAGGAGGTGGTCCTCTGCCGGCTTCGTACCGGGCACACTTATGGCACCCATGGGTTCCTTATCGGCGTTGGCTCCAGGCCTATTTGTACCAGATGTGGTGACCGACTTTCGGTCCGACACGTCTTGGTCGAGTGCCCGAGACTGGACGCTGAGCGATTGCGGTTTTTTGGATTGCGTGGCCCCCAGCTCTCTTTGAGAACACTTCTCCGCGACGACTCCCCTTTTCTCGATTCCTTTCGCCTCTTTTCGTTCATCACGGCCTCCGGGCTTCAGGTGATTTTTAACCCCCGACTTTGAGGAAGATTGGTTAGATATGGGCGCCATATAGCCTCGTTGCTGGTGCGCCCTAAAACACCAAATCATCATCATCATAGGATATAACTTCTATCAGACTAACAGTTCACTGGCAGGCTGTGGTATATAGGATATAACTTCTATCAGACTAACAGTTCACTGGCAGGCTGTGGGTTATAGGATATAACTTCTATCAGACTAACAGTTCACTGGCAGGCTGTGGGTTATAGGATATAACTTCTATCAGACTAACAGTTCACTGGCAGGCTGTGGGTTATAGGATATAACTTCTATCAGACTAACAGTTCACTGGCAGGCTGTGGGTTATAGGATATAACTTCTATCAGACTAACAGTTCACTAGCAGGCTGTGGGTTATAGGATATAACTTCTATCAGACTAACAGTTCACTGGCAGGCTGTGGGTTATAGGATATAACTTCTATCAGACTAACAGTTCACTGGCAGGCTGTGGGTTATAGGATATAACTTCTATCAGACTAACAGTTCACTAGCAGGCTGTGGGTTATAGGATATAACTTCTATCAGACTAACAGTTCACTGGCAGGCTGTGGGTTATAGGATATAACTTCTATCAGACTAACAGTTCACTGGCAGGCTGTGGGTTATAGGATATAACTTCTATCAGACTAACAGTTCACTGGCAGGCTGTGGGTTATAGGATATAACTTCTATCAGACTAACAGTTCACTAGCAGGCTGTGGGTTATAGGATATAACTTCTATCAGACTAACAGTTCACTGGCAGACTGTGGGTTATAGGATATAACTTCTATCAGACTAACAGTTCACTGGCAGGCTGTGGGTTATAGGATATAACTTCTATCAGACTAACAGTTCACCAGCAGGCTGTGGGTTATAGGATATAACTTCTATCAGACTAACAGTTCACTGGCAGGCTGTGGGTTATAGGATATAACTTCTATCAGACTAACAGTTCACTGGCAGGCTGTGGGTTATAGGATATAACTTCTATCAGACTAACAGTTCACTAGCAGGCTGTGGGTTATAGGATATAACTTCTATCAGACTAACAGTTCACTAGCAGGCTGTGGGTTATAGGATATAACTTCTATCAGACTAACAGTTCACTAGCAGGCTGTGGGTTATAGGATATAACTTCTATCAGACTAACAGTTCACTAGCAGGCTGTGGGTTATAGGATATAACTTCTATCAGACTAACAGTTCACTGGCAGGCTGTGGGTTATAGGATATAACTTCTATCAGACTAACAGTTCACTGGCAGGCTGTGGGTTATAGGATATAACTTCTATCAGACTAACAGTTCACCAGCAGGCTGTGGGTTATAGGATATAACTTCTATCAGACTAACAGTTCACTGGCAGGCTGTGGGTTATAGGATATAACTTCTATCAGACTAACAGTTCACTGGCAGGCTGTGGGTTATAGGATATAACTTCTATCAGACTAACAGTTCACTGGCAGGCTGTGGGTTATAGGATATAACTTCTATCAGACTAACAGTTCACTAGCAGGCTGTGGGTTATAGGATATAACTTCTATCAGACTAACAGTTCACTAGCAGGCTGTGGGTTATAGGATATAACTTCTATCAGACTAACAGTTCACTGGCAGGCTGTGGGTTATAGGATATAACTTCTATCAGACTAACAGTTCACTAGCAGGCTGTGGGTTATAGGATATAACTTCTATCAGACTAACAGTTCACTGGCAGGCTGTGGGTTATAGGATATAATTTCTATCAGACTAACAGTTCACTAGCAGGCTGTGGGTTATAGGATATAACTTCTATCAGACTAACAGTTCACTAGCAGGCTGTGGGTTATAGGATATAGCTTCTATCAGACTAACAGTTCACTAGCAGGCTGTGGGTTATAGGATATAACTTCTATCAGACTAACAGTTCACTAGCAGGCTGTGGGTTATAGGATATAACTTCTATCAGACTAACAGTTCACTAGCAGGCTGTGTCTGAGTGCCGGCCGCCGCCGCCCTCTGCTCTCTATGCCTGTCATCCGTGTGTGTTTGTGTGACGGTGTACTCCCTTACCCTGGTCCATGTGTGCGTACTGCGTGTGACGGTGTAGTTAGCGTCCTGACCCCGGCCTCTGTGTGCTCAGGTCATGTCGGGTCACGAGGGCCCCGTGGCCGGCCTGGCCTTCAGCCCGGACCCCACCTCCACGACACTCGCGTCGGTCAGCTGGGACAAGACGCTCAGGTAAGCACCCGCTCACCGTGCCAGCAACGAATAGACCGACGTCGTGGGAGGGGGGGGGGGGGGGCTGGGCGCAAAACGCGTGCTAGACTCCCATGTAATGCGTAATTTTTATTCAGTAAATGTTTCATCATTTAACCCTATTAGTGGCAGGGGGGTTGTTTTCATCCACCCCTCAGGTTTTTCGGGAATATCTCCGAAACCGCTGAAGCTACGATGCTGAAATTTTCTGACTTTTCCTAAAACTAAATTGGGCACATTCCCTGAAAATTTCAAGTTCATAACTTTACCAGGGGCGGCTCCAGAGCACTGGGAATTGGGGGATCCTATTCGTGAAGCGAGTCATTTGGGCGAAGATCACGATGCTGATGTATTATAACTGTATGCACCAGTTTTACGAACAGTGAATGAAAGGTATCATGTGATAACATATACAAAGTTATTGTGCATCCTCTTTTGACACGTTTTTGCTATAATAGGCGGATCCAGGCGTCCAAAAAGGGGGGGTATGTTTTACCTCCCAACATAGGTGCCCTGACACCGCCTATGCATGATCAATACAATTGCAGTCGTTCTCTCATAAGAAAATTGTAACATAACAAGACCATTAGTGTCATGCGGGGCAGCTGATGTAGATAGCGCAGGTGTAGTTACCTACCACCTACCTTGGTTGTTTTCTCTTTTGGCGGAAACACGGTCTCGACTTCCCCTCCTCGCTCGCCCAGGTGTCTGTGTCTGCCGATTCCTTCTTGCGTAGCTGAAAAACGCCCCGAGCGGAGGGGAAGAGACTTGGGAAGGAATGGGGTGACGGTGGGGCGGTGGGCGGGTCTGTTAGGATCCTAGTTTTACTCTCGCTGATGCACGTTGGTGTGGAACTCGTTCGGTGTAGGAAGACTATGGTGGTGATGTTTGCCAGCGTTGCCTTTCTTTCACGGATTTTGTTTTCTTGTTGGATTTTGCTGCTCACACATACATCACTCGCACTCAAGACTGAACAGTGAACATTCAATTCGACTAATGTGCCCCGCGCCCTTGCCGACGGCTCGCCGGCGGGCACCCGACTCCGTCTCCCGGCCGGCCCGGGCGCGGCGCCGCGGCGCGGCCGTCCCGGTTACCTGACCCGGCCGGCTCAAGGTCGGACCGGCTCTGTCCGCCGCTGCCAGCCCACGGCGGGCCCGGGGAGGGGTACTACACTACATTCTTCCATTGTCGTGGTAACATGCTTGGTGAGGGCAAACATTGGCATGATTTCTTTCCCATTAACCCTCGCCCGCACATGGGGGGGGGGGGGTTGCCACCCCCCCCCCCCCCCCAGGCAGTCTTTCTGCTCTGCACTCAACATTTTTAGAGCTAGAAGGCTGATTTTTCGTATAACTGCTTGTCTATCCTTTCTTGATGTCCACTGAAAATTTCAAGTTTCTGTGATTTTTGGTTTCGGAGATATGACCTTGTTTTTCAGGTCATGTCATGACCCAAATGGCCAATTCTCAACATCTTGCGTTTGCCATGGGCCTTGTGAGCTTTTGACACCCTGATTTCGGCCTTTTTTGCCAGTCTTAGGGGAGAGTGGGGCAAAGCGGCCACCCGGGGCAAAGCGGCCATCCATCATTTTAGTCCTCCACAGCTGGCGTCAGTTCCAATTTATGATTTCCAATTATACTTCTCTTTGCGGTCGTTCGAATGAGCCAGACCGGGGTTTCAGGCCCATCGCCATTGTTCTGTGAAACACGGAAAAGCATTTCTTGCTAGTTTACCAATTATGTTTACAATTTTTAAATGTTATTTTATTCCATAACCGTTTGGAATTTTTATAAGCGTTTTTGTCCATGCATTGCGTGGTTATCGTACATGCCTTCTACCAATTTTAATGCTTTTTACCCCACTAATAGCTGAGCTGGAATATTTTTGTCTCGGACGGTATGCGCGGGGCAAAGCGGCCGGGGCAAAGTGGCCAGCCCCCAATTGGCCATAAGTTGTTTACATCTGGATAAAAACATTATTTATATTCAAATGTGTCGTCATGCATTCATCTTGGCCACTTTTCGGTTACATGAGTTACCAAATTATGCAATTAAATGTTTTTCCAAGAAAATTCTTTCTTTGTTTAGCAATAGGTGGGAAGATAACAAAGTAAACATCCATCTTCCCTTAAACCTTGCCACCATCAAATACCCTAGTCGTGCATGAGGCAGCTATTCTGTTTCTCATATCGGGACTTGAGAAGTCGCCAGTGGCCGCTTTGCCTCAGGGATGGGGCAAAGTGGCCAATATGCTATAGGTTTAAAGTTTTGTCAATATCTCCCATATGTGAACGCCTTTGGAAATGAAACGCAGTTGGAATAAAAGACAATTTAATAGGGATCACATTGGTATAGAAAGAATCTTTCCAAGTTTAAAAATCAAGCGTCGGCATCGTTAGAAACGTTAGGGTGGCCGCTTTGCCCCACTCTCCCCTACCTCCCACCTATCATGGAACATGTTGTTCGACGATGTACAGGGGTCAAGGTCAGGGTCAAGGTCAACCTAGGTCATCTAAGATAATTGCGTTTTAGGCAAGCTGAATTTACTTTTTGTGAAGTTTTTTTTTTTGACTGCATTTTTGGTAAAAGATTCTCAGATCATGATTTCATGTAATATGGACCCAAAAACAATCGGTGCACACATCAGTATACACACAGACACACACAGACATACAAACACATATAATTGACCTTGACCTAACTTGACCTGAAATGACCTCAGCAGCAAAATTCTGGTCGGGTAGTGTGACAAAGAGGTTCTAGCTGGCTTGGCACCAGAAAACAGCATCGTCATCGGTATTTGATAAGCAGCGCACTTGATATCCAACGGTGACCCAAAACAGCAACATTTTTTAGTTTGACCTGACCTGGAAGGTCAATGACTGACCTGAGAAGGTAAAACTGGGTATCATTGGATTCGTCTCTTCCCAAAGAATCTTTTTGGTCTTTACTTCTAAGCTCTATCTCCAACAGGAACGAAATGGCGCGGGGGGGGGTGGCAACCACCCCCCCCCCCATGTGCGTTCTAGGATGGGAAAATGGCATGTGCGGGCGAGGGTTAATATTAAAGTATTGCCTGATTATCTCGTCTAGTGCTGCCATCTGTCGAAGGTTGTTCTCCCTAGTTGTTCTTCCTAGTGGTCGCCGCAGTCTGCCCCGACACTAATGTTCCGTGATTATCGCCGGCTCTAATACGGTCCCATTATCACCCTTTTTAGAAACAGTACCAACAAAAACCTTATTTACTATATTTTTTGTGTACCCCCAATCTCAATGATCTGTATCCGCCTATAATTTTTGAAAATGCATATTTTTAGGATCCATGTGAATTCCTGGTTCATTCTCTATCGATCGCCAAAAGTTGCGTTAAGATTGGTTCAGAAACCTGGCCGTGATAAACAGTCTAAAATGTTTCTGCAATTTGCCCGTTTTTACCCCCCTCTACCCCCTATTGACATTTTTTAATTTTTATTTTTTAGAAATGTAGATCACGTTGAGCGAAATCGAATGCCGTTTGAATTTTGAAAATCGGCCCGTTAGATCTCGAGATATCAGGGGGGGTCGTAAACAGCCCCCCCCCCCCCTGTCACTAATAGGGGTAGCCAGGAGCCTGCCACTAATAGGGTTAAATGTGGTCTTGTTTTTTGAGGAGTTGTCTCTTTAGCATCATTCGTCGTGATCTTGTGGTATGATCTTATACCATTTTGTGTGCGTTTCAGATTGTGGGACACGATAAACTCCAAGGGTCAGCGAGAAACTATTGATCTACTGTCAGACGGTGAGTCTGGTGCGACCGTTGTGCTTGATCTCGCTTATTGATGACCAATGACCATACAGTCCCGTCACATCATTTTTCATCTAGCGGTTGTATCACTGGGAGCCTTTTCATCACCTAGGGCCTGTCATGTGACCCTGTCACCCGGATGCAACCCCGATGTGTGTCGGAGTGACTCCAGAGTGGCCCGACCGCCCCCCCCCCCCCCGGGCAGGCCTGTCGGCTGTGTGACCCGCTGTGACCCCGCTGTTCCCCCGGGCAGGCCTCTCGGTGGCTGTGTGACCCGCTGTAACACGCTGTGACCCCCGGACAGGTCTGTCGGTGGCTGTGTGACCCGCTGTGACCCCGCTGTTCCCTCGGGCAGGCCTGTCGGTGGCTCTCTGTGACCCGCTGTGACCCCGCTGTTCCCGCGGGCAGGCCTGTCGGTGGCTCTCTGTGACCCGCTGTGACCCACCTCCCCCCATCCTGGCAGGCCTGTCGGTGGCGTACCGTCCGGACGGCGGTGTGACCTCTAGTGTGACCCACCTCCCCCCTTCTTGGCAGGCCTGTCGGTGGCTGTGTGACCCCGCTGTTCCCCCTTCCCTCGGACAGGTCTGTCGGTGGCGTACCGTCCGGACGGCGGCGAGCTGGCGGTGGCCACGCTCAGCGGCCAGATCCAGCTGTTTGACCCGGCCTGGGCGGCGCAGACGGGCGCCATCGAGGGCCGCGCCGACCTCGGCAGCGGCCGCGCAGACGCCGACCACGTCACCGCCAAAACCAGCCTGCAGGCCAAGTAGGGGACGCCGCCGCCGCCCGGCCCGGACCCGCTGTCCGCGCCAGAGTCCCGAGTGTCTGGTCATCCAGCGCCGAATTATCGACTGTCCGCAGCTCTCAGACTATAATTAACGTCAGGACGTGTTAAGTATGAAATATTATTTCGTCTCTGTTTGAATTCAAAACTCTAAAGCTGAAGCATGAGTTGTGGCAATAGTACGCCTCTTGAATTTACCTAACTGAGCTATCAGTAAAATAGTCTTGTCCTGACACACATCACCTACCCCCGTTCCGCAGAAAAGGGCGTTCAGCACTTTTTGTTACCCGCAGGCCCTCTGACCCCCCCCCCCCCCCCGCCAACACAGGGCGTTCAGCACGCTGTGTTACACGACATGACCCTCTGACCCCTCCCCCCCCCCACTGCTCACAGGGCGTTCAGCACGCTGTGTTACCCGCAGGCCCCTCTGACCCCTCCCCCCCCCCACTGCTCACAGGGCGTTCAGCACGCTGTGTTACCCGCAGGCCCTTCTGACCCCCCCCCCCCCCCACTGCTCACAGGGCGTTCAGCACGCTGTGTTACCCGCAGGCCCCTCTGACCCCTCCCCCCCCCCACTGCTCACAGGGCGTTCAGCACGCTGTGTTACCCGCAGGCCCCTCTGACCCCTCCCCCCCCCCACTGCTCACAGGGCGTTCAGCACGCTGTGTTACCCGCAGGCCCCTCTGACCCCTCCCCCCCCCCCACTGCTCACAGGGCGTTCAGCACGCTGTGTTACCCGCAGGCCCCTCTGACCCCTCCCCCCCCCCACTGCTCACAGGGCGTTCAGCACGCTGTGTTACCCGCAGGCCCCTCTGACCCCTCCCCCCCCCCCCACTGCTCACAGGGCGTTCAGCACGCTGTGTTACCCGCAGGCCCCTCTGACCCCTCCCCCCCCCCACTGCTCACAGGGCGTTCAGCACGCTGTGTTCCTCGCAGTCCCCTCTGACCCCTCCCCCCCCCCCACTGCTCACAGGGCGTTCAGCACGCTGTGTTACCCGCAGGCCCCTCTGACCCCTCCCCCCCCCCCCCACTGCTCACAGGGCGTTCAGCACGCTGTGTTACCCGCAGGCCCCTCTGACCCCTCCCCCCCCCACTGCTCACAGGGCGTTCAGCACGCTGTGTTACCCGCAGGCCCCTCTGACCCCTCCCCCCCCCACTGCTCACAGGGCGTTCAGCACGCTGTGTTCCTCGCAGTCCCCTCTGACCCCTCCCCCCCCCCCCACTGCTCACAGGGCGTTCAGCACGCTGTGTTACCCGCAGGCCCCTCTGACCCCTCCCCCCCCCCCCCACTGCTCACAGGGCGTTCAGCACGCTGTGTTACCCGCAGGCCCCTCTGACCCCTCCCCCCCCCCACTGCTCACAGGGCGTTCAGCACGCTGTGTTACCCGCAGGCCCCTCTGACCCCTCCCCCCCCCACTGCTCACAGGGCGTTCAGCACGCTGTGTTACCCGCAGGCCCCTCTGACCCCTCCCCCCCCCACTGCTCACAGGGCGTTCAGCACGCTGTGTTACCCGCAGGCCCCTCTGACCCCTCCCCCCCCCCCCACTGCTCACAGGGCGTTCAGCACGCTGTGTTACCCGCAGGCCCCTCTGACCCCTCCCCCCCCCCACTGCTCACAGGGCGTTCAGCACGCTGTGTTACCCGCAGGCCCCTCTGACCCCTCCCCCCCCACTGCTCACAGGGCGTTCAGCACGCTGTGTTACCCGCAGGCCCCTCTGACCCCTCCCCCCCCCCACTGCTCACAGGGCGTTCAGCACGCTGTGTTACCCGCAGGCCCCTCTGACCCCTCCCCCCCCCCCCCCACTGCTCACAGGGCGTTCAGCACGCTGTGTTACCCGCAGGCCCCTCTGACCCCTCCCCCCCCCACTGCTCACAGGGCGTTCAGCACGCTGTGTTACCCGCAGGCCCCTCTGACCCCTCCCCCCCCCCCACTGCTCACAGGGCGTTCAGCACGCTGTGTTACCCGCAGGCCCCTCTGACCCCTCCCCCCCCCCACTGCTCACAGGGCGTTCAGCACGCTGTGTTACCCGCAGGCCCCTCTGACCCCTCCCCCCCCCCACTGCTCACAGGGCGTTCAGCACGCTGTGTTACCCGCAGGCCCCTCTGACCCCTCCCCCCCCCCCACTGCTCACAGGGCGTTCAGCACGCTGTGTTCCTCGCAGTCCCCTCTGACCCCTCCCCCCCCCCCCACTGCTCACAGGGCGTTCAGCACGCTGTGTTCCTCGCAGTCCCCTCTGACCACTCCCCCCCCCCATCCACACAGGGCGTTCAGCACGCTGTGTTACACGGCAGGGCCCTCTGACCCCCCCCCCCCCCCCCACTGCTCACAGGGCGTTCAGCACGCTGTGTTACACGGAGGCCCCTCTGATCCCCTCCCCCCCCGCCCACACAGGGCGTTCAGCACGTTGTGTTACACGGCCGGGCCCTCTGACCCCCCCCCCCCCCCCATCCACACAGGGCGTTCAGCACGCTGTGTTACACGGCCGACGGCCGGTGCCTGCTGGCGGCCGGCCACTCGAAGAACGTGTGTATCTACCACTGCGCCGAGCGGCTGCTCATGGCCAAGTTCGAGATCACCCAGAACCGCTCCTTCGACGCCGTCGACGTGAGTGGACCGGCGGCAGCGACGGGCGACCGCCACTCGTGACTACAGCAAACGATTAGCGATTATTTCAGGGGGGGGGGTGGGAATGGCATTGAGAAGTTGATTAGAAAATATGTTTGTAACTTTGTAAGCATGCCCAATGGCAATGGCCAAGCTTTTGGTATGTTTAACGCTGAAACATTTGTTGACTATTAGTTGTGGACTTTTTGGCACAATGAATCCGTGTTCATGCCATTGGCGGTGTCGGAAGCTTTCTTCACCGCGCGGGGCGTGGTTACAATTGCGTCATGTATAAATGCTAACCTGCTGACGTGCTGACGTTTACCCGGCTCGTCTGCAGGACTTCATCCACAAGCGGAAGATGACCGAGTTCGGTAACCTATCGCTGGTGGAGCGGCGCGGGGAAGACGACGACGACATCCACCTGCGTCTGCCGGGCGCGCGGCGAGGCGACATGGCCGCGCGCGCCCTCCGGCCCGAGATCCGCGTGCTGGCTGTGCGCTTCTCACCCACAGGTCGGTCGGAGGGAGAGAGGGCCGCTCGGGAGACCGTGCTGTGAGCGGGAGGAATGGACAGTGTGTGGGCTCCCAGTCCAGCGCGGTCCCCGCCCGCTCAGCTCCTATAGCTGCTGTCTGACGAGCAGCGATCGCCTGCCGTGGTGCGCCTGTAGCGGCCCGGGCGGCCCACCTCAGTCCCTGACCCGCTCCGCCTGCCGTGGTGCGGCTGTAGCGGTCCGGGTGGGCGGCCTACCTCAGTCCCTGACCCGCTCCGCGTGCCGTGGTGGGGCTGTACCTCAGTCGCTGACCCGCTGCCCGGTCCGGCAGGCGAGTCGTGGGGCGCCGTCACCACCGAGGGCCTGCTCATCTACTCGCTCGACCCGACGCTGGTGTTCGAGCCGTTCCAGCTGGAAGAGGACATCACCGAGAGTTCCGTGCTCGCCAAACTGGCCGCCGGACACCGGGCACGCGCGCTCATCATGGCGCTGCACCTCAACCTGGAGCGCATCACGCGCCGCGTGGTCGAGAGCGTGCCTCTGACTGATGGTGAGGACCGGTGAACGGGGGCGGGGTCCCTCCGGCCGGCGGTGAGGGAAGGGTAGGGGAGCGGTGAGCACCGCGGGGGAGACGTGATTGGGGTTGGGGAGTTGCACGCCAGTAACTGCGGGGGGATTGCGTGCTCCCGGGGGAGGGAGGGGGGAGCTGCGCGCCGAGATGGGTGTGCGAATGTCGGGATACTTTCGCGACTGCTGGTGAAGTGTGCCGTCCCGCTGTGCCCCGCAGTGGAGTCGCTGGCCGCCGGCCTGCCCCACCGGTACGTCGAAAAGCTGTTGGCGTTCGTCTCGGCAGAGCTGGAGGGCACGCGCCACCTCGAGTTCTACGTGCAGTGGGCCGAGTGTCTGGTGCGCCAGCACGCCGGCTGGCTCCGCGCGCACGCCGGCCGCGTCACGCCCCTGCTGCGACACGTCCAGAAGGCGCTGACCACCAAACTCAGCGCCATCGGCAAAATGTGAGCCGCGCACAGCCCTGGGACCGAGCGGGCGGGGCGGGGACTGGGCACTGGGAGGTTTCTGATGTTTGGGGATGTCGACAATAATTCCAGTTAACTAGAATGATTTAGCGGTTATTACGGAAGCCGCTTGTTTTAGCAGGGACTGCGTCAGAAATCTTTTTTCGTGCTGCTTTTGTTGCAAAAAAGTAGATTGATTTTTTAATCGATTACAATTTACCATTGTATTCGAGTTGTGAATAAAACTCCTCTCATTTTGCAGCTGTGACCACAATAAGTACCTGCTGAGTTACCTGGGTCACCTGGGTCAGCTGCGCTCGGCCGAGCCGGCGCTGAAGCGGACCGCTGACTCTGACTCGGACTCTGACTCGGACCTGGAGGGCGCGGCGCCGCCAGAGCCGGTGGACAGTTCTGACTCGGAGGCCGCCGCTATGGTGGTGATCAGGGGCTCGTGACGGCGCTGTGAGCGGGGCCGGGTCCCCGCGGGCCTGCCGGGGAGGCGGCGGCCGGCCCTGCGGGGGCGGAGGTCCGCCGCACTCTGACACAAACGGTGAGCTGACCTCAGAGCTGCCCGCCCGCGGCGAGGTGATGTATAGTGTTGCCGATCAGCCGTCTCGTAATATATTTGCGATCCCAGAGACAAATGTTTGGACCATTTACGAGTCGCGAAGGTTTTACAGCGAGCCATTTAGCGCTGCGCTAACAAACCCGATGCTCGAGACGGCGTGTGTCGGTTTCTGTGGAAATGCGGTGTCCATCAGACAACAAAGCGCCCTGGGACGTAATATAGGACAAAGCGGTATTTGCTCCCAGACCAATCGTAGGTGGGACACTGCTGGTGTTAATGTATTCCGACGCTGAATCGCAGATGCTACTTCCTCCGCCATTGTCGCCTTTGATTGTGTCGGCTGTGTTAGAACTTCCCTCTGCCATTGTCGCCGTAGATTATGCTGTCGCGGAGTCCTAGCATACACACGGTGTTTCTCACGAGGCGTGGCCGGACGGTATAGTGCCCGATACAGGCCGGTCGCGTTCGCCGCTGAATGAACCATCGAACCAGCCCGGTCTCGCGTATCGCGCCCGTCCATCTGCGGTCAATGAGAGCCCGCGCCGCGGCGCAGTCGCTCCCCGTCCTCCGTACTAGTGACTGAGGCGGGTGGGGAGTGAGTCACCGTGGCAGCGCACAGGTACGAACTGTATTCCGCAGAGTTTTAGCGTCTAAACCCGCTCCTGTCTTTCCACTCCCGCTCCTGGTCCTGACTGTCTGGCGCCTCCGGGGACGCCGCGCCGCCGTCTGATCCCCTTCGGACGTGCCCCGGGGCCGGTGTCTGTGTCGGCTCGGCGCGGCTGTCTGATCTCGGTCAGATCCCCGCCCGGTGTCGGCTCGGCGCGGCTGTCTGATCTCGGTTAGATACCCGCTCGGCGCGGCTGTCTGACCTCTGTTAGATACCCGCCCGCTGCCGGCTCGGCGGGCTGTCTGATCTCCGTCGCCACCTGTTCCGTCCCGGCCCGCCGCCGGGCCGCCGGCTGTATACAGCCGCGGCCTGCCCCGTGGCGGCCTCGCTCCACGGAGCTATTTATACGTTCCAGCCGCTTTTCCAGTGGGCCGCCGCGGTACTGGAGGTGCGGCACTGCCTGCTGCGCGGCCGGACGGTGTCTGGAGGGCCGCCAGGGCCGCTGGGTCACTGTGCAGTACCCGGCGCCACTGCGGGGAACAGGTGGTGGGCCGCGGCTCACGTAGCCCCGGGCTCGGCGCTGACGCCAATGACGGCAGAGGATACCGTGCCGGACAGCTCGGAATTCATACTGGCAGTTCGGCTTTCTCACCCGGCATCAAACAGAGCGCATCGATTATACTTAGACAACGTTCTGTTTTTCTTGGCGCCATGCTATGTTGGCTATCGCATGGTTTATGCCCGCTATTCTCGTTTGTTTCAGTTGGTCGTCGCCTTTGGCTGTTACGCTGTTACAGGTGTCAGCCTCAGAGTTGCGCGCCTAATCCTTGTGATGAAATGCATTCGTAAACTCGCAATATGATGGCAAGGTATATTGTCGGCAATAACTTGTGTGTAGTAGGGCTTAGTTAGATCCGTTCAAACACACTGACAGTCGCTTGACGATTCATCATGACTGGGTTACCGGCTGGTGCTGTACTAATTTCATTCAAACTTTACCCTCTGATCTATTTGTCCCGATACGATAGCTCGCTGCGATAAAGTGCGCATCAATTGCCGTCATTATTTAGCCTGGGACGAGCGATGACCCCATTGGCACCTCCTGATGACATTAAATTTGAAACGCTGCCGTCGATACATCAATATGGAGTTCGGTCATCAGTGCCGTCGAGCCGACAATACGCGTGTCGCGGGCCGCTGGCGAGAGGCGCGGCCGTCAGATCAGCTGATCGATGGGCCCGCCGCACACCGCGCGGAGGCTCCCAGGCTGAATGTTTCATCGGCACTCTGTCAAAGGCTTCGGGTGTTTGAAGGGCCGCCTCTGCGCCGCCCACAGGGGGAGGTGACACACGGCGGTTCCCACGGTTCGGCTGGACTGCCGAGGGACCGGAACACCAGCTGCGTCAGTCTCCGTCGGCCGCCTCTGCTGTACGGATTACGGACGGACGGCCGTCCGGAATACGGACACTGCTGTACGGAGCTCGGACGGACGGACGCTGCTGTACGGAGCTCGGACGGACGGACGCTGCTGTACGGAGCTCGGACGGACGGACGCTGCTGTACGGAGCTCGGACGGGCGGTGGCGCGGTCTGCTGTGCGGAGCACGGACACTGCTGTACGGAGCTCGGAATACGGACACTGCTGTACGGAGCTCGGACGGGCGCCTCTGCTGTACGGATTATGGACGACGGAGTATGGGCAGACGGCTGAACGGAGTACGGACGGACCCATTGTTTTACGGAGTACGGATGGATTGCGGTACGGAGTACGGACACTGCTGTACGACCTACTGATGTACGGAGGCGCTGCTAAGCGGAGCACGGTCACTCCGCTGCACTGACTGCTGAGCAGAGTACGCTCTGTTGTACAAAGTTATGGAGGTCCCGCTGCGCTAGTTCTCTGCGATCACCCTGCCGCTTCAAGAGCGCCGGGATGTAGCGGCATCCATCTGCAGTGGAGCGAATGTGTTAGTATCACTGTCAGGGGTGGTCGGTGAGTCCGCGGTGCGGCCGTCAGCGCCCGCTGGCCCCCGGCTGGTCAGTGGACCTGTCCAGCTCCCACTGCAGCTGTCAGCTCCTGCTGGAACCCCCGGCTGGTCACTGGTCAGTGGACCCGTCCAGCTCCTACTGCAGCTGTCACCCCGCCGCGCGGCCCCATGTGCTGCCGGGGGCTGCGGCAGCGGCTGGCCGGTGCGGCGCCCTCGGAGCGCCGGGCGCGCACGGCCGGCAAGCTGCTCATGTTCGCCGGCTGTCTGACGGCACTGCTCTACCTGGGCTCGAGGAGCGTGCTCGACTACCTGTCGGAGCCGGTGCGCTCCAGCACCCAGGTGGTGGCCGCCGCGGCGCCCAACCTGACCGTGTGCCCCGGCTGGGCGCTGCCGGCCGCCGGCGCCACCGTGTCGCGCCTGTGGGCGGCCGGCGCCGTCAGTCAGGCGGCCCTGGTGCGCGCCGCCGACCCGCCGCTGGCCGGCGTGGTGGCGCGCTGCCGCGCCGGCGGCCGCACCTGCTGCCGGCCCGTCTGCGGCAACGACACCGTGCTGCTGGGCCGCTGGCGGCCCGTGTTCGTGCTGGGCCAGCACCGGCCGCTGCTCTGCCACCGGCTGCAGCTCGGCCCGGCCGCGGCCGCCATCGTCCAGCGCAACGGCGGCCTCAGCCTCGACTTTCACGTGCCGGCCGGCGCGCAGCGCTCCGGCTCGCTGTTCGACGTGCTGGTGCACGACGGCGCACGGCCCGTGCTGCGCTACGGCGCCGGCTCGCGCAGCGTCAGCGCCGCCGCCGCCTGGGAGCGCGGCCGGCCGCACCACGTGGCGCTGCGCGTGTCGGCCACCCACACGGTCAGCGTGTCGCTGCGCCGCCAGCCGTGCCGCGACCGGACCGGCTACAACCAGCAGCGCTGCCGGATGGCCTGCGAGCACGCGGCGGCGGCGGCGGCGGCCGGCTGCCGCTCGCTGGGCGCCGACGGCCCGCCGCCGCCGCAGCCGCTCTGCGCCAACGCCTCCGCCCTGGAGGCGCTGTACGAGCGGCTGTTCCGACCTCCGGAGGAGGGGGCGGCGCTCGAGTGCGCCTGTCCGCCGGCGTGCAGTGTCACCGAGTACCGCGGCACCGAGGAGCGCCGCTTCTACCCGGGCGCGCCGCTGCCCACTGTCAACGTGGTGGTGGAGCCGACGGCGGCGCTGGTGCGCCAGCAGCGGGCCGGCTCTCTGCAGCAGCTGGTCTCGGAGCTGGGCGGCCTGCTGGGCCTGCTGCTGGGCGCCTCCGCCTGGACGCTGCTGGAGCTGCTGTGGCGCGCGGCGGGCGCCGTCTGCGGCCCGGTGGCCGCCCCGGGCGCCCCCCGGCCGCCGGCGCGGCACCGGTGGACAGGAGCCGCCGAGGAGGGGCGCGGCCCACACGGCAAACGGACCGTCCGCCCACCGCCGCCGCCGCCCTACCATCAGCAGCTGCACGTGTCGTCACTGGAGGAGGCCGGCTGATAGACCGCGCTGAATTGTCCAGTGGTCTTGACCAGCGCTTCATACTAGTGGTATGGTGTTGCACTGGGAGTCTGGGTACAAGCACCACGTGCTATATGCATACATGTGCCAGCTCGTCCTTACCGGACCTTCAAGTGATTTTTCATGTGATAACAGATTTATTGGAATGTTTTCCGTCCTAGGCAACATGCGGCCTTCTAGTCATATTCAATATTGGCATGTAGTTAATTTCATCTGACTATTCAGAGCTTAACCCTCGCCGGCCGAGGGGGGGGCGGGTGCCGCCCCCCCCCCCCCCATAGGGTTTTTTCGCGATAGCTCCGAACACGCTGGCGATAGAGAGCTGAAACTTGGCATACCTGACCTTTGATCCAAGCCGCATCTTTTGACACCAACCGCATTTTTGGGTCAGGTCAGGTCACTGACCTATGACGTCATAAGTGAACCTCTGCACGGTCTTCAGATGTCGCAACTTCGCAACGCTCTCACTGCCAGAGGAGATGTCACAGGGAAATGAAACTTGCAGGATCTAGTATCCATTATGAGTCCCACAACTTGTATATCTCGGATTTTTCCTAAAGGTCATATGAGGTCAGGTCATTTTCGTGACCTCACCATTATAAGTCAATGGGGAAAAATGAAAACTGCTATTCTGGCGCCGGGAGCGATCTCCAACTATCTCAAGCACACAGAATCGTGATTTTATGCACTCCTTGCAAGGTTAGATGCGTCACTTTTTCAATGTTGACCTTGCGTGACGTCATTTATGACGTCATCAAGGTCATATTAGTTTTTTGTCAATAACTCTTGATCAAATTGAGCTAGCGAGTCTAGAAAGCCACCGATGGACTCAGGAAGACCTGCCGAATCGAATGATATGCGACATGACCTATTTCGACCAACTTCGTGACCTGGGGGTGCTGACCTGACCTTGACCTGAGGTCAACACCCCAAGTTGACCTGACCGGGACAAAAAGTATATCAGTCGACGCGCCTGAGC